ACAATCGAGGAGCATCCGAGATACCAGTTACCATATCACACTCAGGAATGCCACAGTTGAACATCTGGGCAGTTTCCCACTTAGTTACGAGTGACGAGAGTTTAAGATCATCACACACAGCAGTTGATGTGTACTTTACAGGATCCTTGATCCTTTCTGAACGTCGAAGTACAACTGGTACAGCTGGCGACGGGGTAGGAGTGGGAGTTGGAGTTGGCAGACCATCGTCCTGAGAAGCTTCACCACCAACCCGCGGATCAGGTGTCTCATTGTTCAATTCTTCAAAACGTTCATCATTGCTATCATCGTCGAAAAACTTGATATTGACTTCTCTTCTTATAGGTGACTGAGTAGCGACTGGTGACGAAGAACTTTCTCTTTCACGAAAAGGAAATTTCTCTTCATTGAAAGTTGCGTGGTGAGTGGTGATAATCTTCTGAGAGTTTAAGTCGTAGATGTGGTAATTGAAATTATCCTCATCAAAACCCATGAGAACACCAGGTGAGCTTACAGCACCGAACTTTGATCCCCTCAGTTCTTTTCGAATAAGAGCAAATGACAAACAACCAAAAAATTTTAAGTGATCTACAGATGGCTTTCTGAAATGCCAGGCTTCAAAAGGAGTTCGGTTTCCGCTGAGGGCAGAGGTGATGGTTCTGTTGGTGAGAAACACCGCTGTCTTACATGCTTGAACCCAGAACCTCAGAGGCATAGCTGACTCCAGCATCATAGACCTTGCTTTCGTGCTGATTGTGCGGTTACCACGTTCTGAGACCCCATTTTCCTCAGGTGAATGAGCAGCCGTGAGATGAAGGACAATACCCCGTTTTCGCAGCTCGGCACCCAAGAGATCATTCAAAAATTCACCCCCTCTGTCAAGGGTGAACTGCTTAAGTTTCATGCAGGTCTGTCGCTCCGCAAGTGCAAGGTACGATATGAAAACTTTGAAGACTTCTTCTTTTGATTTAGATTGCATAAAATAGATGTGGCGGAAAGAGGAGAAATCATCACAGAACAAGGCGTAGTACATTTCATTTTTAATCCCCCTAACTCTGATGATGCCACTAAGATCGACGTGTACATTTTCTAAATGGCGAACTGCTCTGGGCCTGGTTGCTGAGTGAGGCACCTTGGTATTCTTAGAAAGAGAACAGATATCACAGTCTTTCAGTTGCGTCAAGTCCACAGGAAGTCCATCCACGCTCTTGTGCTTGCACATGATTTTGAGGTAGCGGTTGCTTAGATGCCCTAATCGACGGTGTTGCAATTGAGAAATTTCTTCAGTTCGAGTCGATGAAGCAGCTGAGTCATGAACTGGACTCACAGGCTCAAGCGCAACATACATGAGATTGTTTGCTGCGAATACTCCGTTGAACAGAGCTTCCCCATTGAACACGAGGGAAAAACAGTTGGGATCGTTGGGATGAATAAGAACCTGTACCCCTTTTTTGAGCATAGCGCCGCCTGCCAACAAGTTTTGAGCAAGCTCCGGAACGTAGAGACAGTTGTTGAGTTCGAACAGCTTTCCGGATCCAGACTTCAGTTGTACAGTTCCAGTGGAGTGAACCGCGAGTGATGCATCTCCTCCGGCCAGCTTGAGACGTTTTGAGGAGTCTTCAAGTTTCACTAAAGAGGAAGTTGAGAACAGGTCATCACTTTTAAACATATAGTGAGTGGCTCCTGTGTCGTACAAAGCCCAGAGACCACCACTTTCGCTGACAACGTGAGCCGCTGGAGTGTCATCGTCGAAAACGGTATGAGACGCTTCAAACGTAGTGTTGGCAGAAGCAGAGGCAGTGACATCGCCCTCGTCGAGATACACATGAAGAGAAGCGAAAGGGTTTGCGGAAGCGACGGAAGGACTGGCAGAAGGGAGTGACAGTTGTCTGATACCATTCACATTTGAGGTTTGCGTTGAGTTTCTAAAACGATTTCCTTGGTTACCGTTCCTCTTCGCCTCCATTTGAGCAATCCAGATATCCCGAGCAGCGTGGTTCTCAGGCTTGGCAAAACATCGATCAGGTGCATGTGTATTCGAAATACATCGATGTTCAGTGCATTTGGGCTTGGCTCTACGTGAGTTGTACGTAGTAGAGTGGTTTCCTCCTCCGACACGAACAGCAGAGGATTAGAAGTTGGTTTGGCTTGCTTCAATCAACGCAGGAGTAGTAAAGCCTCCATTGCGTGCTTCGTAGTCGATGAGATATTGAACGACTCCTTCTCTAGTAAGTGGGACAACTTTGGCGTAGATTTTTTCAGAAACATTTTCATTGATTCTTGACTTGATCGTCTTGATGAGCTTTCTCGCCGCAGTAGCAGAAGACATTTGACCCTTATACTTGATGAAGTCGGCAACAAGATTGTTAAACTTGTCGCAATGAACCTTGAACGAGTCCGTGTTGAGTATCTTCATGTCACTGATGGCATCCTCAATGGTTTGTAGTCCAGACTCCGAGATCTTCTGATGATGGTTCTTCAGAAAACTCCAAATGAGGGAAGGTTCGTAGTCAACATCGTCATCGTCATCACTGTCCTCTGGCTGTTCTTGTTCCTCGTCCGCATCCCTGTTCTTACGCAACTTCAACATAGTTTGACAACGCGTCTTGTTCTGAGCGTCCATATGAGCCAGTAACCAGATACATATTACGAGTTTCACTTTCAAGTGTTGAGCATCGGTCAATCCAGGGTACTTGTAGTCCAGCTTAACTAGATACTTGTGATAGTCGACAACGTTGAGAATCCGTTTAATTTCAAGGGACCATTCAGGGAAGTTCCCGTCAGATAGCTTGGTGTCAACAGTGTACTTCGCTAGGACCGAGTTGAGTTTTTGAACAAACTGTTGGAGATGAGTTCCAAATGCTTTTGAATCCTCTTTTTCAGACATGTTGACTGTACCAGAAGTAGGGATAGATTCTGGAGCGGAAGATTGTCCAGAAGGATCGAGCGGAGTTTGACTCGATGGAGTTTGAGTTTTGTTTGAAGAGCCAGATGAGATGGAATCGCTTTCAGCGTCAGTGAAGACAGGTTCGGGGGAGGTTGACATAAACCAAGGAAGGTAAAGTTCTTATACGAGTTCAGGTGTTAGTCGAGTCTTTGATGACTCTCGCTACCATGAAATGAAATGACGCGGATTGAAAATCGACGCGTAAAACCTGGACAGAACAGGTTTGTTATGAGTTTGTAAGAACTCGAAAAGAAAAAGAAACGGCGGAGTGAAATCGACGCCTTACCTGGACAGAACAGGTTTGTTATGAGTTTGTAAGAACTCGAAAAGAAAAAGAAACGGCGGAGTGAAATCGACGCCTTACCTGCAACAGAGCAGGTTACGGTGGTAGGGAAGAAGTAAAGAGTCTTAAGCTTCCAGTTCCACACGGTGCTTTTATTTCCACATACTAACTAAGCAAAAAGAGAAAAACATAGAAAGATATCAAAAAGATTCATTTACCTGGACAGAACAGGTTTGTTATGAGTTTGTAAGAACTCGAAAAGAAAAAGAAACGGCGGAGTGAAATCGACGCCTTACCTGCAACAGAGCAGGTTACGGTGGTAGGGAAGAAGTAAAGAGCTACCACACACAATTGATGAGTACTGTCCAGGTGAGAGATGAATAGAGAGAAAAATTGAAAAGACATACTCTTAAGCTTCCAGTTCCACACGGTGAGGGAGGGAACTGGAGCTTGAGAGAGAGAGAGTATATAAGATAATTTGACGCGCACAAATAATCAATCACTGTACTATCAGATCTCTAGCTCGCTAAACTTGTTAACAAAGGGATAGCTGCATCAACCATTCTTGAACTAATCAAAATGCACACATACTCAAAAAGGAAACTGAAATAGAAAAAGAAAAACGAGAAAAATCATAAGTCGTGATGGACTTGACCATTTCATCATAACACTCAATGGATGGCGTATTAGCTGTGGATGTTAAGCAAGGAGGGTATACTAGAGCTGACTTCGAAGGGTTTTTAGAAACCCAGTTGGTAAGCACTCGTTGTCCTATGGTCTCCTCGGGTTGGTATCTCTGGCTGACTTTGGATACCACAGCTACCCGCCATGAATCCTTGTCCTGCGCGCAATAGTGTCCTAGTTATGGACAATGCACCAATTCATCACAGTGGCCGTGTAGAAGAACTTTGCGCAGCTGCAGGTGTCCGACTGATTTATCTTCCCCCTTACAGTCCCGATTTAAATCCCATTGAGAAAGGGTTCTCATGTCTGAAGGCTAAGTTGCGACGCACTCAAGAATTGCAAAACGCGTTAAATGTGGACAAAGAAAGAGCTCGCCTTTTTTTTGCTTGTATTGAAGTTTTAACCTTGGTCATGTGTGAAGGTCTCTTTAGGGGTTGTAGTTATCTATAGTCATCTAGTTATTTTCAGTATGCAAATCATGGTTTTGAGTTGGTTTTGATCTTGTAGTTTCTTCCGCTTGTACCATTGGTAAATCGATATGGTTGTTTTAGTCTCATGTCTCTGAGGTTTAATTTTTGAATTAAAATCAATACCTCATTTCAAACTTTTGAGACATCTTTTCATAAGTCATAATAAATACCGTAAGTATATCATACATTTTGAAAATATTAAACAAATTGCCATGGTAAGTAACTACTTCTGTGGGTCTTTATAATATTTGATGGACTCGTTTGTAATGGAAGTTGGTCTGTCTGAAATCTATTGACCTCTTTTGGCTAAAACATTGACTATGGAAGGTCCCCTATGTGGTAAATGCGGGATAAAGTGGAATGATGTGTTAGAACAACTGATGACATCTCTTCAAAATAGCCAATACATCATTTCTCAATGCTGTCAGAGGTATGTTGATGCTTTCAACATACGTGAGGATAAACATTTAAGTTATTCCTTTTTCACACTTTATTACAACTTCGTTTGGGAGACTTTCAATCTCACAAGTTATGGTCTATGTCCAGAAATCAAAGACAAAGTCAAGTTGCGGAACAATCTCACGTGGCCCATGTGGAAACAACTTCTAAAGTTACAATTTCATTTCATCTTATGTTTCATATGATGGGCATGTATATCGAACCAGAAATCGACATAAGTCTTACAAGGTAATTGCGCGCACAATTTGGGATCACATTCGTGGGTGTAAATCTTTAACAAGCCTGATATTGGACATTCAATGTAACTCTTACAATAAGTATCAAAGGCAGACAGCATATGATGTTAGGATAATTGTGTATATATAAACCCTTAAAACATTGCACCTAGGAAAAAAAACTGTGGATAACAAACTCGGGGGAAGGAAACGTCTTACAAATAAGAGTGGAACAAAACAATGAGTGGATTATGTCATGTATAAAGCACTACCTTCGTTTATAATGAGATTCCTAAAAAAAGGGTTAGTAGGCAGTTATCATTATCAGTGTATGATATGTGACAGGGAAGAGATCAATAGAATGGCTCACGACATAAAGCCAAGTGGCGCTCAAGGGCGGTGTTCAGCAAACAAGTAGCAACTTGGCGATTAATGCTGTGCTCAATGAGCACGCTTTTGGTCATTTGAAGACAGGGGATTAAATCAGACCAAGATTTGATTCCAGCGCACTCGAGTTGAGCACGGATAAGGTTGTCAGTTGGCAACACCCCACATTCATCTAAAAACTCGTCCAATTGAACCTGATGTGATTTCACAATATTGATGGTGTCAGATTGCTTTGAACACGCCTGCACTATTTCAATGTCGTCTGATTGAGGGGTGCCCGCATTGTTTTCATAATCATTGACCAAGCTGGGAGCATCGTTAGAACCGCTGGGGCTTGGGTGGCCTAATAGTGCAGGATGGCTTCAATAATCAAAAATCACAAAGTGACAACCTGGAAGAAGACTTACCTGCTTCTTTCTTGACCGCATGAGAACTGCCAAACACTTTAGAAACACACGCCACATTGACATTCATTGGCGGGGATTTGAAAAAAGCGGATTTTTTCACTGGAGATCCCGAGCGGTTGCTTTTCGCACCAAACCCTTTGACAGGGTTAAGGACACCATCAGGAGGGGGTGGGGGATTACTATAACCACCCGAAGCCGCCATAGTTTGATAATGGGCATTAGATCGCACATCGACAGGGGTTGCACCATGAATTACACGAGTTTTGGCAATTTCGGCTTGGTACTCCGCAGTATTTGGCGGCATATGCAAACTGGTGAGGCCTTTAACCTGGTTAACATCACCCACACATTTCAAAATCATATACGTTAAATATATGAATGACATACATTAGCACTGGAGGAAGTTGACTTACGATTGCTTTGGCCCAAATCACGGCATGATTCAAAGTGAATTGGTAGCAGAAGCCGAGGTTCCAAGGTACCACCGCAATGCTGGAGTCGCCCGAAGGATTTCCGCGTTCACAATTAGTACGAAAAATGGTAGCAGTCAGCTTGTGTAGAGCCAGGAGATCCTTGGAAGCCTAATGACAATAACATCAACACCATTTCGAAAGATATTCATATTAAGAAGTTAGATACATACTTGCAGTTCCTTGGACATTGCCTCCATCTCAATATCCTTTGCCATTGAACCGTTAGTATTAGCAATGAGTTCTCTCACTGTGCTTACCTATGACAGTCACAGATCCGTAAAAATCTCAAGTTATCAAACTAATCAGTGAAACTTAAGAGGCCTTTGAAATACTTACTTGGGCCTCCTGCGCCGCCGCCGCCTTGGCAGACCGGGTGATGATGGTGAGACTGCCTTTGCACTTCTTAGGTTGTGAAATGAAATTGACAAATTCAAACCAGTGAGTGTAGTTGTGCAGCTCAAACTTACTGCCTCCAACAGAGGCCTTCCAAATCAAATTTGGAGCTACTTCAGAAGATAACACAATCTGCTTCATTCCCGTAGAGTACTCTTCACAAATGCCAGCACAAATTTCGCGGAATTCCTTGAAGGACATCCCATAAAGACATTGTTTTAAACGACGGACACCGGACGCGTTGAAAACCTTGGAATCAATGACATTCACCGTTGCAGCCTTGCGTTTGCAACTGGAGGTGTTAGATGATTCGATCACAACCGTAACTTCTTGATCGACATGAATCTTGAAGTTTACTTCGATTACCACCTCATGCTTAGCCTCGAAGATTTTGCGAGCGTTGGTGCCTTTTCGGTGCAAAGGAGAGAGGTTGGGCGGTTTGGCTGGGGACTCATCGCCATCGAGGTGATGGGTAGGATCCTCAAACACTAAACCCACAAAAAACTTTGGTTTTGTTTATCAAAAGACAAAAGAAAAATAGAAACTTACAGTCATTCATACAAATAGCACCTTGCTCCACCAGGGCATTCGAGGACAAGCTTGACTCCAAAAGAGCCTCCGGTGTTGCAATACTTGGTGTTTGCAAGTCTGGCACGAGGTTGGACATTGTTGTTAATCTGGAAAACATCTTAGAATATCAGAACATGCAAATAATCGTGAGTGAAAGAGAAATCAACGGACTTGAAGGACAAAATAATCAGGAACAGAAAATCAGTATGAAGGACGAAGACAAGAATAGCCAGATAGCGACCAAAGAACAAGCGTAGTGAGTCGATTGAGAATCTGGGGACAAGACACGCTTCCTTCCGGCGACCTTTTATAATCACAAAAATCACAGGTGAAGGTGATTCCCCAAGGCAACTGGCATCAAACAAGCCTGAAATATCAGCGCAAACCGGAGGCAAACCCAAAGGTCAGCGATGAGATATTCCTTTTTGTTCCACATGAATCTGAGAATCAAACACCAACAACTCACCGTTTGGCCAAAGTGGAGACCACCCAGTCGAAACCGGACGGAAGAACCGGTCAATGAATGAAATTGCAAGGCAGTAGTGTCTTTCACAGGAATATCTGGCGTCACATTTGAGAAGCGATATCGATTCCATCCGTTGAACAAACATCTTGAATGAATGAAACAACCTAACAAACCGGAAGGAGAACCACAAGTGCAACTTCTTTGTCAGAGCTCAAATTCAATCAAAATGACGGATCCTTTGAAGTTGAATGAGATGCAAAGGTCACTTTTGAATTGAGCGGGTCAGAACCTTGGGGGTCCTCAAGGCCGGTATCATTAGACTATTTCCCTAAATGTTCAATTGTTGCGAATCAGACCCAAGCCAAAACCAAAGCAGCAATTCAATGGCAAACCCGGTCGAAACAAATTGCCCAATGAAGTTTTTGGGGGAAACAAACAGAACAAAGTCAGTTGCAAACCCCAGGGGACCAGCATTGATAGCTTAGTTGATAATGATCAGACCTACGTAAGCAGTGGTTCCACGGTAAATTTTGAAATGGCCGGAATTGAACACAGCTACGTAAAAAAGTAAGCCTAGCTGAGAATTTGAAGTGGCCAGAATCGGACGTTCAGGCGCTTCAATGATACAATCGGAAAATCACTATTCCTAAGCAAGCGTGAGTGTTGAAGTGGAGACCATGACAGTTTCAAGTTGCCAGCATGGGAACTGGTCGATAGGATTTCGATTGGGCCTGTCAGGAGAGTCTAGTGGCAGAGGTCCAGAACGAAATGGAATTGAGAGTCAGGGGGAGCGAGAGTCAGTCAAGGTGAGTTGTTGTTGAAAGTGATGCGGGGCAGCTAGTGTAGACATGGAGAAAGGGCATGTCAAGTAGCTTGCAAAACTCAATAGGCAAATGGTCTGACGTCGGCTATGGTCTGTCAAAGAGAATTGTTTGGTTTGACAAGAAACTTTTGTGTCCAAAATGGGTTTTGGCCACAGTTTTGGACCTTTAATTTTGTTTCTCGTGCCCGAAAAAAACCAAAGGTTTCTTGAAGCGCTGTATGTATAGTACTACATATGTAGTCTCTTTGAATATTGTTCAACCACTCAACTTGATTCATTCGTTTTGTTTTGTATTTTGACTTGTCGCGTAATGATTAGTGAACGAAGAGACCGAACTCACCAGAGTTGTGATCAAGGGTGAGAAGGAAAGCAGATGGATGGGGCTCGGGAATCAGAGCCAGCTACACCTTAACTTTGAAATGGAGTTGAACTTTTTACAGCTGTTTCAACAAAGATTGATTTTTTTTTGAAAATCTCGCCAATGTGCAAAACCCGGGTTTTGTCCTGTTTTGTCCCTCACCCAATTTTGTCTCTCCGCTAATTGGAAGAATACAGAAAAGAATAAACCTGTAAATCGAGTTTTGTCTCTGGTTTTACCCGCTGCAGAGACAACTTTCTCCAAAAAAAGTTGTCAACCTTTCTTGAAACAGCTGTATTAGCTTGACAATTATGGTACTCAAAACCACTAGGTTCAAGCCACCTTTTTCAAAAAATGTGAAAAACATAGATTCAAAGTTGATCTTTTTGCAGGGGAATTCCTGGGAATTCTCTGGAACTTTTTTTTGGAGTTCTGTATGGTTCATTTTCTCCGCAAAAACAACATTTTGAAAGCAGGTTTTCAAGAAAGGTAGCACGGACCGAGCCGTTTTGAGTACCGTAAATAGGGGTACTCAAAGTAAGTATGCACACGTACATACTTTTCGCTGCATACTTTTTTTTGGCGGGGAGAGAGGCCAAAAGTATATTTTTTCTCTTTCCCCGCCAAAAAAAAGTATGTACGTGTGCATACCTTTGAGTACCCTAAATGTCCTCGCTGCGCGGCCACGTCCGCGCGCCTCGCAGAGGGGCTTACAACTAATCATTGATTTTTGGCGTGAACACTCCAAGCTTTATGTGTCGTTATGTGGTTTTCTGCATTTCAATGCTTCCCTCAAAAACAAACACCACTTTGCCCTGCAGGGAAAGTGGTTCATAAATGCTCTCTACATGTCCTCATGGACCAACATCATGGATACTCTGAGTGATGCGGCCACAACAGAGGTTCAAAGATTTGCACTAATCCCACCTGCACAGCGGTCTTTTGGGTTAATTTTTGACTTTCAGACATAAAGAATCCCTCAAAAACACTTAAAGTGTGAATACAAGCCGTAAGCCATGTTACTAGTGGGGCATAAGGGCTTCACAATCAAGCTCAAAAAAAGCATGATGAATAGATGAAAGTATGTAGACAACATTGGTGAACCACTTTCCCTGGGGGGTGAAGTGGTGTTTGTTTGCGAGGAAAGCGTTGAAATGCAAAAAACAACATAAGGACCTTAACGCTTGGAGTGTTCACGCCAAAAATCGAGAAAGAGGGGCAATTGGGACAACCCTGACAGTACTGTCAGGCCACTGACAGTCAGGCCTTTCAGTGACCTGTCCCTTCCCCGTGAAATTTAGCACAATTCTTTCACTCTTTGTTTCCGCCATGTCACATCCCAAATGAAAGCTTGGTGAGACCTTTCATTCTCCACACCTCCAATTAATCAATCACCACCTCTGTTTCACCACCTCACCCCAAGTCAACCGGAACTGTGATGCCTTCCAAAGACCCACATTCAAATCTCACTTTCAGCGCATGGACAAATATAGATTGAATTTTGAGTACACAGATGGATCGGTGAAGTTGAATTGAATGTAAGGGCGGATTGTAAGGTGATAAAAAGACATTAACTCGTCTTGTTTTGCACAGGATTCTTTGTCTCTGTACCAGTGTTCTATCAAATCCTGTTGTAATCTTACCTCAATTCCAACTTGTTTCGGATCATGATGCGGATTTTCAAATCAAAGACAGAAACATGATTTGATTAATCCAAAGGTTTTTTTATGTGTTTTTTGTTATTCAGGTGTGTTCTTTTAGAACATGAATCAATCCATCAGATAGGATCGATATAATAACAACAAAAAGATAGGCAAGATAAAGAGAAAATTTACAAATAATCTGTGTAGCATAAGCATGATCTAAGATATCATCAGCTAATTGACCAATTGAATGAATCCTATCTTGATCCCCTGAATGATGATCATCATCTGATGTGCTTTGTTGTGTTTTAAATGAAGAGATATCTCAGATCTAACAGACAAAAGTAATAAAGTTCTTTGTTCTGATTGTCTCAATGAGCTTTGAGTTCATTCAATATCTGTTTTATAGGTTAGTAAGACTTCTTTATCTCGGTTGGTAGAAAGGAATTTAAATGGGTTGAAATGGGTGAAATGTTCAAATATTTTTCACCAGATCTGTCTTTTGCCTGTTGACCAGGTGCCAACAGTAGAGACAGGGTATGCGACAGATGGTGTCCCACCTTTCTGTAGTGTGTTATCACCCATGAATTCATGGGTTGTGGGGGGGCTGACAGTCAGTGTCAGTGTCAGGGCCTGACAGTCATGGCTCTCCTGGTGGCTGCGACCTCTGCAAAAATCGATGATTAGTTGTAAGCCCCTCTGCGAGGCGCGCGGACGTGGCCGTGCAGAGAGGGCTTTCTTAAGCTGACAAGACTTCCAACGGCTGGAGGAAGTACAGTCGTTTTCAAAAAGCTTGCCAAAATTTGCCCGCAAAACTCCAAACTTAACTAAGTCCCAAAGGTGGACCTAACCACCAACTCCACCAAGGGACTTACTCGCAAACGCGCAAATCTAGCGTGAGATGCGTCAGGGCTTCTTGCTCAAATCTCTCATCCCCATGGCACAGAAACCTGCCTTATCAACCCTCCAAGAGATGATAATGAAAAAATTGCGCAGACGCCCTGCCCAGAACTGGCCGCTCTCGGCTCCTTATTATTCCACATGGTTGTAAGACTATCTCAAAAAAACACAATAGGGCCACACTCGGGGCGACACCTGTCTACAAGTGTTTCAAATGCTGCGCGTCAGAAATCATTCTACTTGCAACATAATCTAAGTAAAGGACACTAAGTTCAAACAGCGTTTTGTGCTGAGCTAATCCATACAATGCACTTTGTACATGTTTGGAGCGTCCTACAGCCTATCCTGCTGGCAATGTCACATTAGTATTGGTGTATCAAGTCCGACACAAATATAATCATGACCTTACATATTTGACTTGCCCGTCTGTGCCCCTACACCGTCACCCAGAGGCATTGGTGTTGATGTGAAGGTTGTTGGCCTGAGGCAAAGGAAAAAAGTTCAGATTAGCACCTAGTCCGGCAACACTTCTAACAGAACCCGCATAGCTGCAAATGTTTACCTGCTCTTGTATGATCTCACGCCAGATGCCATCCAGATTCCCAGCTTTGTTGATTTGAGCTTGTATAGACGCGAGAACCTTGCGAATCAAACAACACGATAGGTACGTACTCCCACATAAAGTGTATCGTTGTGGTTGATGACGTCCAAAACGGGGGTCCAGGAAATGAAAGATGAATGCAAAGACATTTATCCCGTGAGCATCGATAAAGCGGACAATATCAAGTGTCTTCCTATTGGCCACGGCGATAGACGGAGCTGAGGAGTCATACAACGGCGGATTCAGGTGGATCTCATCTACCGCATTTGCAAACTCAAGTAACCCCATGCCTTCAGATTTTATATATTCACAAATCCTGTCAATTTTCCCTTCGCGTTCAGTATTTGGGCTGTCAGGCTGATCCATCGTGCAGTCTAAGAAAATAAAGTCAGGGGGAGGTGGTTTGAAAAATCAGTGAGAGCCCAATAGTTGGTCTATATACCTTCAAAAGGGATATAGACCACAGCGGAAGCGTATCAAGATCGAACAGTAAATTTCGGAAGAACTCTTACTGGGCTATTCTATGGAATGGGCAAGCGCTCATAAAATATAGCCTGTCCGAAGGCTCGGAAGAGGCTTCGCCGGATTTCTTGAACTGGTCAAGCCGGAATGGAATGGCCAATAGTGGAGCTCATAAAATTTAGCCTGTCCGAAGGCTCGGAAGAGCCTTTGCCGGATTTCTGTGAAGGGCACCTCACACTGAATAGCATTCCCGCATGGTCGGAGCAAAGTGATGCTGAGACACAAGAGATTTGCTCGGTGCACGGAAGAACAGTGTGAGATTCTATGAAGTATTTGGATCCTATTGGTCGGCCAGTCGCGTGTTAGTATTTGTTTATCATAACACGCGCTTGAACTCCATAACCTGATGAAACTACTGAGATAGTGGGAGTTTCGTAATGGGACGTTTCAAGCACATCCATTCCGATCAATGGGATCCCCCACTGGGTGATACTATGGGGCCTTTGTTGGGGCATGCTTATTGGAAAGTCATGATTCCCAAAAAACGCTGCTATCACTCTGATTATAATCCTGAATAGCATTTTATCGAATTACACAAAAATCGTTTTCACTCGAATTATCTGCTGAATCCATTTACAAGTTTCTGTCATTTGTCAATCACGTTCACTTCTTCCAATCACTTGATTCTGCTACCATTTCCAAAAATATCACCTATGGATTCCCCAAGCCAACCCCTCTCCAGCAAAGACGCTTGCAAAACCACTGACGAAAGGGCTGTGATGATCTGTGATTACATGACCAAGGCCGGGATGTCGCCAAAGCAATTCATGGTGACTTTCATGTCATCAAACCATCCTACAGTTGTATATCGCCGACGTTTGATGAAGGCCGGAATGGGTGTCAAGTCAAGTCAATCTATAATCAGAAATTTTGGGAAAATGATGTCATCTACTGATGACGGCCAAAGCCATTGGGAGTCGCTCATATTAGAAGAGGTTAGTGGTGTACTTACTTTAATATGAAGACAGTTAATGGGAACTCACCTAATTCACTAACCGTGGTGACAATCATCAGGCGTCCGCAATTGTTAACAAGCAGGAAGGCCCACGTGGTTTTTTTCCAAATGGAATGTATGTTAGCTCAAACCGTATCAACCCTGACTTCTTCAGCGAGAGTGCCGAAGCGTATCGCGAGAATCAAGTGCGCACCGGGATGAGCTTCTTGCACAACCTCATCCGCCTCAAACTAGGTCTGCACGAGCAGGTGGACGACGGACAGGTCGACGAAACCTTGGACTCTACTGCCTCAAATCCAAATGATCCTGCAACTGTGCATGATGAAGCTGTTGACGAAGCCATGGTCTTATCGATGGAAAATATGATTTGTGTGAAGCCAAATTCGACCGACCTAGCTGCCCACAAGGTTAATAGGGTGAGTGATATCAAATTGTGGCCTCAGTAATTTTCCACTGACCACATTAGCTATCCTGTAGCTCCCGGTGATGATCTGTGCGATGATTGCGTTTGCTGCCAATCGACGATGCAACGCCATTCCCCTAGCAAATGGCCTAATGGCCATAGCTGGTGGGGTGTCCTGCCGAGTCAACGAATGGCTCCACAGCTGTGGTTTAACTGCGTCGCGCCCAAGTATCCTACAAGCGATGGATCATCTAAGACTTCTACAAGAGTCCCGGATGATGGAACTATTTAAAATTAATCACAAGATCATGCCAATCTTATGTTACGATAATATTGACATACACCTTAAAATCCACAATACTCGTATCGAGACTTCTTCACGCCTGTTCCACGGCACTTGGGGGTTTTTTATCGTTGTTCAAGCCTGCCTACAGGCCAAATGTACTGATGAGGCTGTCTCACTGGCGACCTTTTTGGATTCAATGGCGGCTGCTGACCGCAAGCCAATCAACATGTCGCTTTTCATTCCTGGCCCTTCATGCATTAAACACTGGAAATCAGTCATTAAAGCTCAACTCGGTAAAGCATTGATTGAATATTCTTCTCACTTCCCTGTTGATGCCACCAAGCTTCCCAACCTAGCCACACGCCCGCCTCCAATCGACCCCATTCCCATGCACAAATCGAACATTCACTTCTTGAGAATGATGGACGCGCCGGACTCTTCAGCGGAGGGAGTTTCTCGAGTACTAGACCAGGTCTTAGCACAGATTGGATTGGATAAGGACAAGTATGCGGAGAAGATATTAGTTGCGGGAGGCGACGTTGGATCAAATCAATTACTTGAAAGCTTGCGCATGAAGCGATTTCCGCCCATAGACAAGGTGGAAGGGCTTGATTGGGTGCTTTCCGTCTTTGGCGGGGCACACACAACGTGGAATTTCTTGAAGGCTATCTGGGCTCATCACTGGGGGAATTCAGACATAGGAGACGATTCGGGGGTGTGGAGGTCTTCGTTTGCATTAGGTGGCGATTACAAGAAACCGGTGGCATTGCAGGACTTCAACTGCATTATGCGATCGCTCCAACAGGTTCATAAGGCAAACCTGGTATTCATTCTCAGGTGAGCTGAAGTAACCTTTTATACTGTCACCAAAAAACAAGAAAAACTGAAACGTACCATTGAATTTACCGATGCAGACAAGTTATTTCCTTGGTTGATGGTATTGATCTGGCCAAAGTTTCGGACTGTGATAGGGTAATTGATTTAGTTTGGAGTCAGTACTTTGATGCTCAGGCTATCAAAGAGGCGCAAGCAAGTGAAGATCACACTCGCCATAACTTTTTACTTCGCCTGCGTGATTTTGCTACCGTAGTAGAGGCCCAAGATGCAACCCGCGCCGGTGACATCGGCCGGCTTATGGCGATGTGGAAGCGGTGGTCTGTAATGGCGCAGGGTCTGACCGGCTTATCTCATTACGCTCGCCATATTCCTCGAATGGTCCTTCTGCTCGAAGAAGACCTACCTGCAGGCCTTGCACATTCTATCAAACATTCAATCCTTTTACCTTCAAATGAGCGAACGGACCATTGGATGGCTATTGATGAATTCTTAGAAGTCCATATCTTCTGGCTGAAGCAGGTGTATAATAATACGGTGAGTCCACATTCACGCAATGTTTGTCGCCTTACCAACGAGAAATACCCAGCTGACAATGCCTGAGAATCAATTTGCCATTAAATAGGGTCATGGTACCAATATTGATCGCCTGACCTACAGGCTCTCAAACAACGTGCCCATGGTGAGTTCGTTTTATGAATGGTCAATGTATTTCATTTCAAATCAGAGAGCCAGTAGGATTAACTTATACAAACAATCCGAATCAGTTACGGAAATTGATGCAGCTCTTGAAAGTGGCCTCGGGTCACAAACTGATCTTTCAGCCAAATACAAACACCATTACGAGCCCCTCACTGGAATCTTTCCTCACTTATGCGGAAGGTAACTTGGCCCTTTTTTCGGGCAAAGGTCATCCAGCGCCAGTAATCAACGTGTGGCGTGCAGGGTTGCGGCAAATGATCAAGTTGGTCCGAGCTGACTCAAACGCGGGTCGATCATCAAGGTTTCGATGGGGTGCGTCGGATGTGTTGGCGGCTGAGGATAATGAGGAGTGTGAGGAGGAGTGATACCCTGGTTTCATTTGAAAGAACTCAATGTCAGTTTACATCTTAGCATTTCATTAGGTATGCAATCGAAGCTCTTTGACCTGCTGTGATGGCCTCCGCTTGGATGGCCCGGTGGCCGGTGCTCCTTCGGATCTTCGCTTGGTACCTTTGGTTGAAAGCTCTCGTGAAGTTGAACCTTCTCCCTTTGCCTGAGCACGTCGAAGTCGCTCTGCCTCTTTAGCGGCCTTTGTACGCTGGTCAGTCTCTACCTTTTCCTGCACACGCCGTGCTCGCTCGGCCTCCTTAGCCGCCTTGAGGCGCTGGCTGGCCTCTAGCTTGTCCTGGGCACGTCTTGCTCGCTCCTCCTCCTTAATTGCCTTCGCACGCTTCTCAGCCTCCAGCTTTTCCTGGGCACGTCTGGCTCGCTCCTCCTCCTTGATTGCCTTTGCACGCTCCTCAGCCTCCCGCTTTTCCTGCGCGCGCCGCGCTTGCTCAACCTCCTTGGCCTTGGCGGCTCGCTGTTTCTCAATGGCCCGTGCCTCTTTGACTGACTGTTTCGCAGCTTCAGCACGCTCCTTTGCTATCTGGGCACCCTCGACTGATTGTGGAATGTTAAGACGACTATTGCCCCTGTTCGCAGCATTACGAAACTCTGAGGCTTCAGCCAAAACTGTGTCGGTGTTGAATTGAGTCTTCCAACGGCTGAAAGTCTGAAATAAGGCAGGAAATTGGCCGGGAATAGTCTCTCCAGCTAAGACTATTGCGAGATCATTGGGTGAGTCGAATAGATCAATGTTTTTGGCCATATCCCACGCCATATCCAAGTCAAACAAGTCAGATGAGGCCAGGTCAGAAGGGTCCAAGAAGTATCCATTGAAAAGTTCGGTGAAGGTCTGGACCAGTTCAGTCACAAGAATTTTAAGCAAAGGGGTTTTGAGAATTGGGTCATCTGGTCCACAGAGAGATGCAAGTGGCCGATTTTCAGCCGGGGGCCGTGGAGGCGCGTCAGGTAGGTCTTTGATCAGATTGAAGAGGTCGTCCTCGCCCATTTGTAAAGCAGAATCAAAGTTATCGTTTGTCAGAGCAGGCTGTGCAAGCCACAGTGCTTCTGCTTCATCCGGTTTACAATTGGAGCAGTCACACTGTGTCATGCCCGCTGTAAATTGCCGTTTCACCTCGTCAGTTACAGCTACATCGTTTAAATCTAGGGGGATGTAGCCAAGGCTACCGGCAAGCAAAATAGAAGAAGTCAGTTAGCTTAATATTGGAGCGTCATTCAAACTGTCACACTACTCACCGTAGATCCACAGCTAGCGCGACACGAAGGCACACGAGTGTGATAGCCAGTGCGTCCATTCTGTCATCATCAGACTGAACCGTAGGTGTCCAGAAGTCGCTGACCACATTTTTACCCTTTGCTCTCTTGTGTTCAACCAAAAGGATACCTAAGCCACGCCGCCCGTCACGGCCACATCGTCCAGACATCTGGATAAAACTACATGGATCTTGCCGTCCGACTATGATGACCCGACGAACCCGTTTCCAGTTTTGGCCTAATCCAAGAGCGAGGGTGCAACATATTACCGCCAGAGCACCTGATACATAGGCAGCAACTGTGGCAAGCTTGGCATTTGGGCCGGTCGTGGCGTGGTACCTGCGAGCGAAGCCGGAAGAGCCATTGGCAGATTCGCTGGGGTGACCTCGGGATGAATGTGAATTGATTATCTGCATGTACTCCAAAGTCGCGTTCTGGGTACCAGAGAACAGCAGTGTGGGAGGGATCATGCCGGTGGGTACTAATGTGTGATGAGAAAATAGGCCACGTAATGATGCTTTGAGAGGTCGTTTGAAAGTCCTGCGTACGAGTCGTAATTCCGGTCGAGTAAGTTCCGCGCGGACAAAGGCAACCCCACGTGTGTCGAGTTTGAGATTCGACATGATAGCCTGAATGGCCTGAGGAGGGCATGTTGCAGACATTAATAGAAGTGGGACTTTGTCGGCAGATAGGAATCGACGGGCCAGCTCTCCATATGAGGGGCGGAAGACTCCTCCATCCTGTACGCGAACGTGGCTAGCCAATCGTTTTGCTTGACCACTCGCGACAAGTCCCCAGGTATACACCATATGGGCTTCATCAACAACCTTCAGTACTAACCGAGCCTGAAATTGTGGATCACGCCACATTTTGTCAAAGATGTCGCTTGTCAAGGCAACTTCAGGACTCTGCAGATCATGCCAAAGAGAGATATTATCTTCCGATTAGCTCAAAGGTTCACAACCTCATGATGATGAAAAAGACATACCACATAGACAAACAAATATTTCCCCTGCAGAATTGAATCACACGTCTTTTGGGTGCAGTTGGCCCCAGTTAAATTCACCGCATTCATATCGACCAAAGATTTTTCGATGACCTGGGTGCCCATGTCAATATGATTGTACATCAGCTATGTGAACGCAAGAAACTTTTACATTTCTACAAGGACTGACCTGATCATCTCCAAGTGCATCCAGTGGGTTGATGCTCATAATGATTGGTGCATATGCCTTGTCGTACAATAGGTAAACCATTTCAGGTACTCTGCTTTTTCCAAAGCCAGTTCCCGCAAGCAAGAATGTTGTACGACCATTGAGCAGATGGACTACTGCCTCAATCTGCTCTGGCCGAGCAGGGTATCCATACGTTTCCTCAAAGAGTTCGGAGATTGCTTCGGCTTGGCGAGCTTCACTAGTGTTGAGAAGCACTTGTCGAAGTTTTGGGCGGGCAGTGAGCGACATCGCCTTGCGTGATTCAAGATCCTGGTTAAATAACGCTGCATTGGTGGCGGAGTGGCTTCGTGTGAGCATGGTTTGTGATAGTTGTGATATATTCAGTTTTCCGCCCAGTGGATCCGGAATTGAAAGATATTGTTGACCGACAACGATTCCGAATAAAAACTAATTCTTAACCTGCAGAATACGAATCAAGCAATAAGTTGATTGTTCTGTGATCGTCAATCTTTATGTAAACCGAATCAAAACCATTTGGAAAAGGGGCTTACTGTTTGATCAAAAGAGAGTGTGAAAGGAAGATTCAGCTACAACTAGTCAGAGACGCGACAGATTTCAAGGCAGTCTTGAATGCGAGAGGATATATGTTGATGGTGTATGTGCACGGGACAAATGGCCCTGGCGTTCGTAGCGTGAAGCACACAACGCGTGGGCCAATCAACACCGGCAGCAAAGACGTTCGTGCAAAATTAAAGGTATAATAGTAATTGTAAAGACAAGCTATGATGGTTTTGATCAATGATTGCTTTGTCCGAGTGAGGTGGAAGGTTCCAAAGCGGATTGCAATTAAAGGTCTTGATAACTGAACGTCGCGTTGAGAGGTGATGTTAAATTGTTTTTAAATGGTTTGATGATTAAACACGATAGTCATAGACACCTGTTTCAGATCGGTACGATTCAAACAAAGTCCAACGTATAGATTGAGAGGTTCGAAGTTGACGCGAACGAAAGCACCATGAAGGTAAGCGAAATGGTCTCGAGGTGATTCCTGGTGGTGATTCGATTTAAATTGACATTGAATTCTATATAACACCCATGATGGCCGATGGGTTTGATGACTTGAAGCTTTTGGAGGACTGCCCTTGAGGGACTTGTAGATTTCGCGGTGAATCCTAACGCGACAAACAACAGTTTGTCCAAATCTAATTGATGGTTAATGAAAGGTTTTGTCTGTAAATTTGACATATTTGTTCAATTATTGGAGTTTAGGACGCCGCAGTCTTGTTCTGCTCATGTAGGGCCCCGAGTGTGGCCCTATTGTGTTTTTTTGAGATAGTCTTACAACCATGTGGAATAATAAGGAGCCGAGAGCGGCCAGTTCTGGGCAGGGCGCCTGCGCAATTTTTTCATTATCATCTCTTGGAGGGTTGATAAGGCAGGTTTCTGTGCCATGGGGATGAGAGATTTGAGCAAGAAGCCCTGACGCATCTCACGCTAGATTTGCGCGTTTGCGAGTAAGTCCCTTGGTGGAGTTGGTGGTTAGGTCCACCTTTGGGACTTAGTTAAGTTTGGCAAAACTCAAGCAATTTGGCGGTGAATTAGCGGCAAGCTTTTTGAAAACGACTGTACATAGACCTCGGATACCCAGCCCTTGACAAACATCACTTGGGAATCCTGTAACATTACATTTGTGAATGGATCATGAACCGTTCCAGCGGCTCGAAGCGATCTGACCTTGTGAAGGCCTGGTGATAAGCTCATTGAACTTCCCATCATCATCAATCAAATCCAGATCATGGGTATTGTATCTAGTATATAGTATCTTTGATCCTTTTTCAACCAGTTACTGTTGTTCTTACAAAGCTTGCCAAAAATCCCGCGCCAAACTGCTTGAGCTTTGCGCGAAAACTTGGACAAGCTTTTTGAGAACAACAGTAAGTTGATTCAATCCTTTTGTTGTTTCTATCCAAAATCTTACACCCGAAGGAAATCTGAACCTGTAGTTAAAGAAATCATTCTTAGACTTCATTAAAACTCAGAGACCATAATTTCAGTTGTGTCTATTATTTTTTCTATAAAAAAAGAAGTCAAGACAACTCAAATTAAGGATTATAGATGATCTGTTTTTCAATAACTTTTATAATTGTTTCAGACTCTTCTTGAAGTAATTTTATCCAATTATAGGTAAAAAAACCTTACGATGGGTTTTTAATCTATCAATTTGATTTCAAAGACAATTTCATGGTCATATTGGTCCCACACAATTTCACTAAAGCAACGCCTGCAAACGCGTCCCCAAGTTCCAAACTTCATGATCGCCGCGAAGAGTCTGAGATGCACATATGCACCAGTCTCCTGAATGTGCTGTTTGAATTGGTTGATGTGCTTTCTGCTTTCAAATCATTTGAGGGTTTTCGAACAAGTGTATTACGAAAAGTAGTAAATATGCTCTACACCCCGAGGATCTATGACATCCTGCCTGCGCTCGCAGTAGGACGAAATTTTACATGGAACATGCCCGACAATCGATACGCTTATTTTTCAACTACATACTCTCGCCAAACAATGTCATAACTGCGAGTTCTAGGTTGCCAGATCCAAGGTATTAAAAGAGGTAAGAGAAATTCGCCAAAAGCTTTCCTTCGCACAAAATTGGCGTCAGTAACCTGGACCACCAAAGACCCGTTCAGTCATCTTGCCATTTCTTTCGTCTTGCTTGTTTACCACTTGATTAAAAGAAACCTTAGGTAGATAACCTGTCAAAGTATGACCAAGATTTTTTTTTCTTGGTGGTGTTACTTGATCTTTACCTGCAGTTCCTGGGCTCTTACTCCATCAGAAAGCTTGACTGAAGGAGCAATTGAAGTGGAGGATATGAACTTGTTGGGAGGAGTTCAAATGGAACATGGAAATGCAATACGCCATTTAACGGCTCCAACAAATCCTGATTCACATGAAGAAGAGAACCTTTTAGAAAGAAGAATTAATTTTATCAGAAGTCACGGAAGTGAATCTGAATGTGTTGAAGATATTTTAAATGAAACAGTCAAGGCATTAGAAATATGGTCACCAATTCATGAAAGTGTTGAAAGTAAGACTCGTCCGGGAACTTCGATATTAGAAATTACTCACAAATTCACAAATCTTTTTACTCGAAGGATGAGGAAGTACAAGATTTTCTATCTTGCGCGAGACGGTCAAACATATAACTCAGCTATCAGAACTATAGCTAGAGAATTGGACATTATGATTCGTGATTCTTTATTTGGGGGTTCATCAGTTGACAATTGTCTTCATATTGAAATTGTTCTCATTGCTGTACTAGAATATTTACAACGCGACAATCTGAAAACATATGAAAGATTATGGACATTGAGTGTTCTTCGATTGCTCCAGTCTCTGCTTCCGATGGGACATGTTAAATCAATAAGCCAAGATCCTAACACAGGTCGTGTCTGCCGAGGAGGATTGGAGCTCTTCCTGACACAGGGTAAGTTCAGTTTGATCATGCTCCTGAATTTGGAATAGGAGCGTTGATGCTATCTTCAGGAATGGACCTCGAACCCAAGGTGAAAGGTGTATCGTATGGGAGGATAGACATCCTTCCGGTGGATAAATGTGAGTACTTTCCATTTATCTACTTGCTTGTCCCTTTGAGATGTAGTTGATGCCATTCTGACTTATTACAGATCTCACGGAAGCCCTCGAGCGAGCTGAGCTGATTCTAAACATCAGGAATTACCTCCAGGGATCTCAAGAAAGCCTTCAAACTCCTGGATTGATAGGAATACACAACAAGCTGCTTCAAAATAGGTCTTTATTTGAAGCAGGGATTATTGAGTCATTGTCATTACAAGCCTTAGCTATGGATGGCAGTATTGACAAGTATACTTCAGATGGAGCGATCCACTGTTTATATCAGATATTGCAACATCTCGACAGATTCTATTCAGGCTCCCAGCAGCTCGCTATCACGGAAGCTCTCAAACGAGTTGAGCTGATGTTAGAAATCAGGAAAAACCTACATTACCATGACCATCAGATACCTGCAATTATGAAGATGTATGACAAATCACTTCACACAAGGTCTTTAGCCAATACAAGGTTTATCAAGTCATTGACATTTCAATGTATCCACCATGTGATCCATGAAACTACTCCAGATGAAGAGATCCCAGGTGTGTATCATATATTGCAATACCTAGAGAGATGCTATCCAATTGCAAAGCAGCTTGTCAAATCTTGGTTATCAACCACTAAAAAATTTAAAAATATCCAGCAGAGATTCAAGTCTCAAGCAAAATTACAGCCACTTATTCAGAGATACCTTGATGAAGGAGATAAGGACCCTTACATAAAGGGACTCCTCATGCCTTTTGTAGGCTTACATTCGGTCAAGTTAGAATATATCAAAGCTTGTCTACATTTATGTCATATCCAGGACTCTGCACTCAAAGGAGGAAAAGGAGATTTATATGGTCTGGATGTCTCAAAAGGGGAGAAGTATCTTGAAAATCAAGATTTTTTCATTGATATGATGTATAGATCAAGCACTTATATTGATGGGCTTCAGGATTACCTTCATAGCCAGGTGAAAAAGGATGGTAAGCCTCTTTAAGTTCTATCCCATGTTCAACCACAACACCTTAAAGACTAAGTTTTGGAGTACATATGATGATAAAGTGCCCTCTGGGAACCAGTGTTTTCATTCCATGAATGGTTGATACTGCTTTGGAGTCTTTTATTCACAATTGATGTGGGGCTGTGGCACATATTACTATGTCAATTTCATCTCTGCTGATGGGCTGGTTAAGTTTTCCTCTGAACCTTTAGAACCAAGTGGCCATTACCAATATATATCAAAGCCTCTGGTTGAAAATCAAACCAAAGGTTCTGAAGGATGCCCAATCTGTCTATCAAAATTCTTGGAGGGTCAAAGAGTTGTGAAATTGAAATGTCTAACTCCTCATATATTTCATGAACAATGTATTAATGTAGGTGATTTTATGCTTATATTCACTCAGGACAAGAGATATCAAAATAGATTGCTGATTCAAATTGCCCGTTAAAATCAATTCTATTGTGGTGTTTGGCATCTTGAATAAAAACTTAGTACCTGATCTTGTCCTCTAAAGATGGGGTTGTCAAATGCCCCACATGTCGTAGAAATATGATAATGCCACTTGCTCATGATGAGCACATCTTTTGGGACTAATTTATATCTTCTTGAAATATTCTGAACAGAGATTGGAAGGAATTTTAACAAATGAGAATCATGGCAGAAAAGGAACGGGGATCACCCACTTGAAAAAGAGGGCACAGTTGATGCTCTATACAAGCAATATTAGTATCAAAGCATCACTCAGTATTATATCAAATGCTGCATCAATCAGTCCAAAGTAAGCATAAAAGCAAGTTTTGCAGTCAAGACAAATATAATGCTTATTTTCTTTTTAGACAACCTTGGGATCATCAATAATGTATCATTTGGAATAGGTAGGCATAACAGGGCATAATGTCCAATACTGGGGCATAGGAAAAGTAACATATGAGCGGAAAAATTATCAGGAGATGAGATGAGAGAATGAGGAACATTTTTGACAGTGAATGTTTTAAAGATTTCCCACCTGTACCCTCTGATGAAAAACACCTTACATAAGCACATTGACTCTAGTAGCCCTAAAATATGCCTACATATAGCAAAATTCACACCTTTTGCAGGGATTCTTTTCCTCAGAATGATTCTCTTGGCTTACATGCTTAAAAGATTGCCACCTGGTTGTGAAAAGCAATCAATTTGTCTCATATACAGGTCATATACAAAAAAACACAAGCCAGTGGGCTGTGTAAACCACCTGTACAAGACTCATGGCAGGTGTACAGCCTCAGGAGGCCATGATGGGTATGAATACCCATCCAATATATAATGTACCTTGCAATCACTCTCCTTTGGACCATCAAACTCGCACAAAGCTCCCTACTTAGGCACTTACAACCCAATAAACTTTTCTCACTCTCAGTTTCAACAAACCAAGGAGGTTATTGAGTCACCTGTTAAGACCTTCTATCCAACTGTACAATGTCTAAGGTATGTTTGTACTCTTCACATGAACCTGATAGAACAGTGATATGTCAGGTAGTACACCCCCATAGTGCTACTGGCACTTCACACATGTTGATGTGGTCTATGGGTACAAAATTTAGTCACATTTTTATATGTAAGAGATATCATAGTCACTGACTGTACACACATCCAAAGTGACTTTGATGGTCATGTGTGCACTCTGTGATAATCCACCAACTCATTTGCAGTATTCTTCATTCTAGTCCTGATACTTTGAGTACCCATGGTTTTACTTCACCAGCAAGAAAGTAGCTGCTGTCTTTCTTGGCACTGTGTGGTCTTGGGGCAGGTCTTTTAGCTGGTTAAAGACTCTACAGAGGTCAGTTCCATGGTCACAACCTACTTTGAAAGACTCCAGGCTCCCAAACAGAGCTGACCAAACAAGCATAGGGCTTGTGAGACTCGAGGGCTCAGATGAGGACTCAAGGCTCACTAATTGGGCTAAGAAAGTTCTTATGGATTTTAATAATCAAGTTTATATTTCAAATATAAAGTAACTACAACAAAAGTTATAAGGATGAAAGGGAAAACAGGGAAAAGGAAGAGTCTGTTTGGACAAGTCCAGACAGACTTCAGCTAATTGACCCCTTAAAAGGAGGTTTAAGATTCTAATAATTAAATAATATAATGGGATAAAGGTTGGATCCAAGTCCTTCCTTTAATCTTTATGTAACGGATTAAAGAGTGAGATAAAGGTCACTACTCTGGTTGTTCTTAAAGTCACCAACTTGGGGTTGTTCTTAAGGTCACCAACCAGAAAGTAATTGTACGTAGGTCACTAGCCTTGGGTTGTTGGAAGGTCACCAACCTACAATAATTTCTACTTGGGGGAAGTAGAGGATCCAGGGAGTGAAGGAAGTATTACTTACTTTTAATCAGGAAGCTGATTAAAATTAAAGAAGTGTATCACTAGTCTTATTATTATAAGACTCTTGATGTTACTTCAAAAATTAATGTGTAATAAAAAAGCTTGGGGGAACTCTCTGAAGGCTAAGAGAGGAGGAGTTTATATACTCTCCGCTCCAAACCTAACTTTAGTGATATTTGTTTGTATCACTACTGTGGTTTAAGGTTTAATCATTACTCTTAGTTATGATTATTAATACTACATAATTACATATACATGTTATGTAATTTATGTAGTATAAGCATTTTAACTCTTGACACTGAGTTATGAGGTGTAATTGGTGTTTTATTACATATTACATATGATTTTAAATGTATATGTATATGTAATTGATGTTTGTATATGTTCTATTACATGTTACATGTGTTTTGTAAGCTGTATGTACATGTAATTAGGTTTATAAGTAGAAATTGTATATTCTAAGTTAGTTTGGGGTACATGTATATGTACCATGTACCCAGGGCTGACAGGGCTGACTTGTATCCTTACCCTATTTTCACATCATCAGGCAGCCAGACCAAACCAACCTAATTTAATTTTCACTCAAACCCTTTCCATTTCTAAGCCATACTTTAACCTACTCCAGACCCAGTCCGATGATTAACCCAATCAGTTTTTCAAACCAGATTGATCCATTACTCTTTGAAACCATCCTCATCAAGATATCTCCCTCACATATGTACTGATACTTTGAACTAAACCCTTTTCTTCACAGTAAACACAAAAAAGTAATTCATTCGATTAAATCAATTTCAAAAGTACAAAAGACATTAATATAAATCAATCAATTTTTTTTATAACCAAAGGGTGAGGTAGAGGTGAGATTAGATTCTCACTAGAACTATAGTAACTGTTTCACTTATGTAATCACATCTTTATACACACTTTCATTATCAAATCTATTTCTAAAAAAACCAAACACTTGTCAAAAATTTCTAAGCTCCTTACCACTTTTACAGTTTACACTCTTACATAATCCTATACCACAGTTCACAAGAGGAGCAGTGGCACCATGATACCCAATCCCATTTACTAGTCACCAATTGGCAAGACCACATAAGTCTGAGCATTATACTCTCACTTTTGAATTTCCTCATGCTAAAATACTTATCATATGTATTTCATCATCTTACTTTCCCTTTCCCACCACACCTTCCCAAACAAGAATCCTATTTGCAACATAAACAACTTCATCATTCTCAATCTGATTCCTCTTTTTTTTATCATATTTATCATACTCAGTTATCAGTTCTGATCAGTTTTGATGACTTCTTTCATAGATTTTGTCTGAGGAGTTCTTATATATATCCTTCTGTCCAAACAATACCAATACCACAAACTTTTATAAATCTCAAAACCCAATCAATGTTTCAAAACTTCATCAAACAAACTAAACTCAAACCCTTTGAAAAACACATTTGTTCTGGTTGTGGAAAACCTTCATCTCAAGTGCCTCATTAATAGGTTTTCATCAAATCTCACTTTGATCTGATTGGATCAACTACACACATCAATTTGATCATTGATCTCTAACTCCAAAATTCCACCAACAAAACCAACTCCCTCACACAAAGGTTTACATACATAAACATCACATTCTTAATTGAATTTCTTTTCTTTTCTGTTTTTTTGTTTAGAATGGTATTGATTGTATGATAAACCTACTACATAGAAACAAACAAAATCACAATAGACACACTACAATCTCATTGAAACTCTCTTTCTTTTCAAAACAAAGAGATAGAGAGAAAGAAAAAAGAAAAGTTCTCAAACCAATTCACCCGCATCCCACATCATCATCATCAAATGGTCCATCATCTCTATACATACAAAACACACACACACACACGTATATATATATATATTCTTTGAATTCAGGAATTATCGACTTGATCTTCGAAATTTCTTTTTCGGCTTTCAAGATCCACGATAAGTCGAGAATGAATAAGGACTCAAGAGTAATGGAATATGATAATGTTCAGTTGGATCTTTAACTTCAAAGGTGATTTCCACAAACGGATAAAACGAAACGATTCCTCTCTTTTGATAAACTTTTTTGTAAGAAACCAAAAAAAACAATCATCAATTCAATTCTTTCTTTGTTTTTTCTACAATCCAGATTCAAAAGAAAGGCTTAAATCAATCTTACATTCATTACTAAAGAAAGTGACTTTATAAATTCCAATCTCAGGTCGAGATCCACCAGGTAAAAGTGTATTACATCTTCCATCATGATCAGTTGTTCCATTAGCGATCAAAACGAATCCATTGGACGTCAATCGATCTAATCGGATCCCCATCTCATCACCCGGTTTACCAGATGTCGCATCAAGAACTAATGGAACCCGCAAAAATAATCCAAATTCAGTCAAACTCTTTCCAAATGATTCATCCTTGAGTGATCAGGTTAGGATCATGACTTACCATGACAAGTGACTGGACTTTTGCCAGTTGCAAAAACAGGCCGTCTACCAAATCCAAAACAGGTCAATCAAAGCAATTCCAACACTCTTCACCTTTTCCTAGTCAGATCAGATGATTAAACCACTCACGGAATCACCGGATGATCGACTTTCTTCTTCTTAGGCGCCGAACCAAGTTCAACCGTGGAAGCCGTCGTCGTCGCATTCGCCTTCTCTTCCTGTTTAGCAGCAGCAGCCGCTTCCTTAAGAGCGATCAATTGTGACATTTCAGCCCTTCTGACTGGATCAATCTGTGCACATTGGGCCACATGATCTCTCATCCTAAAGGCCTTTGGTCTCTCAACGTGCCATCCACAATATTTACAGGTGGCGCGTTCGTCGGTTCCATTTCCATTGGTATGGAAATAGACCCAAACCGCATCCTTTGGTCTTCCTCCTTGCTAAGGAGAGAGAGAGAAAGCCAGAAGAAAAAGGGAATGAGGGACTTGATTATGAGATATGTAAAGGTCAAGCATTCCAAACTCACCGAACGGGTTTTGAACTTCGCACTAGAAGGAGATCCAGGTCCGATGAGAGTAGGACTACTCTGTTGATTGTTTTTGATGGCAGCAGCATTGAACGGACTAGTATTGGAGGCTTGATGATCTTGTTGTTTAAGGAATGGATGTACCGCAGATTGAGATTGATTAGAAGACGTGTTCGAAGGACTCTTTTCAATGCCTATACCTCCTCCTGGTGCGTTTGTGAATCGACTGAGTTGGTCATTGGAGGTAGACTGTTTGAAGAAATTGTTAGTCTCACTGGGTGATGGGACTGGTAGATCGTTCAAGTGTGGATCAGGTGAGATGATAGGTTCGGTTGGATCCTTATCGATTGAAGTTGGATTAGGTGAATCGATCGAGGGCGATGATGCTGAATCATGGGTGGGGTTGGAGGTCAAGGTGATGGGAGCAGTTGAAGGTAAGTTGGACTGAGGACTGGAGAGGTGATTAGGCTGATGAAGATGATCAAGTCAGTGTCAGAAGTGTAGGAGTGAGTGAGGATGTGAGGATGAGTGTTTGTTGAGTTTGGAGTGGTGAAGAGAGTTGAGATGATATAGTTTACCTGATTCGGATTACTGTTCCACACTGAGATGATGATCGAGAAAAAGAGATAAATCGAGAATCAGTTTGAGGATTAAGAAAATCAGTTGAACCAATTTAAATTCAGTTCACAATCAGAATCCAAAAGCTTGGTGGGGTTCATGAAATTTAACAATTGATCATCAAAAGAATTGAAAAGTCTTAAAATCAAGAGAATAAAAAGAGAAAAAGAATAAAGTGATTTTAATCAAACCGAATGAAGTTTTAAAAATACTAACTTTGACTTTATGATTCGAGGTTTGATGAATGGATGATTGGGTTTTAGTAGAATTAAAAATCAAAATCGAAAATGAACAAAAAACCAAAAAAAGTGTGGGTTGTAGCAAACAAAATCAATTTTGGAAAACTTTCAAAACACACAAAACTCGATCGATTTGAATTACGAACGATTTTCGATCGAAATTCAACTTGACAAAATTTAACCAAATCTTTCCAAAAAAAAAAGAGTTGTTTAAAACGATTAAAAGACTTTTAAGGAAACCCTCCCCTTAAGGGGTTTTATCACTAACTTTTGGTTTAAATTAAATAAAGAGTTCTCCCTAGTTTTACCAATTAAAAAGATTGAGAGAACACGAAAGGTTCAAAATTATTGATATGACGATGATCGACGTTTTCTTTCGGTTGAAGAGTTGAAAATGATGAAATCAAAGATTTATTTAAAAAGTATTAAATTTTCAAGTTTACACCAGGATCGGAAGGAACTTGAAACACTAGATCAAGAAGAGAGAAGTCGTTTTAAATCTGAGAATTGTACATAACCAAACATTAAGTTTAGATTGATACTTAAACATACTTAAATTTAATCTGAAATCGAATTTAGACTTTTACAAAACCAGTTTAAAAAGTATAGAATTCCAAATCACGTGAGAATGAAGTTCTAGAACTGAAACTAAAACTTAACGATATGCAACTTAGATCTAAACTACATACATTTCTCAAATCTTCATTTTTGAATTAAATTCAATTGTCTTCTTAAGTTCTGATCTGTTCTGATTGATTCTTTTGCAAATCAGTCTCACTCTCAAGTTCTCAACCAAATGCAACAGATCTAAAGTTCGTGGAATCGTGACACTACAGATAACCAAGCTTATTCCTTGATATACATGGAAACCTACCTCATCTTTAAACCAGATCTACAGACCTATGTACTTCCTGTAAGTTCAGTAAATGATATGATTGAAAAAATAGATAAGACATATATGCAATCAAAATTCTTATAAAATGTCAATGAGATATGCAAAACATTAAAAGTGATCTAGGGGGGGAAACAAAAGAACAGAAAGTCAAATGAAGTGATAGCTACTTGATTCTACATGATGAAGGTTGGAAAATGATGATGAATGGATGCATGAATGAACTGATGGAATTCAAAACTCGACTAATTTAAGAGTCTCTAATGTAGGTCTAGCACCTAAAAGTCCAAACCAAAGACATACATTAGTGTTCAATTCGAATCAGAATCAGAACCAAATCAAAACACCATCAAGTTATACAAAGATCACTCACCTTTACCCATAAAATATTCACCCATCTTATAATCTTTACGTTTTAAAGCTTTATCCAACATCTCATCCACCACCTTCACCCGATCTTCTAACCTGATTTTCTTATGAGACTTCAAACCATCAAGCTGATAGTTCAAACCGATTTTTTTAGATTCTTCAAGTTCATTCGGATGAACGAAATCCACTTCGATTAACATTCTAACTAAATTCAAATCACCCGTCTTGATAGCAATCATGATACTCAAATTATCTTTATCTGATGGGTTCGCTCCATAGGTTAAGAAAAGTCGAATAAAGTTTAATTCGCCACTTAGGATTGAACGGGATAAAGGATAGCCGCCAAGTCGTTTGGGTGAAACGTTGAAGTCTTTTAAAAGAATCGAAATGTACTGAAACGAGTGGGTTAATTCGATTTGATCTTTAGATGTCATTGGTTTAAATAATCTAGTAGGAAGTTGACTAATGAAAATCTTGGGTGACCGAGTCGGTCTTAATGATGAAGAGATAAGATCTTTTGAAGTTTCTTTAAATTCATCTTGATGAAATTTTCTTAAAATCATTAAAACTTCAAGTGTACAACATCGATTCGTAAGAATAGAATCCCATTTATGTTTTCTTTGTGATTTCCATTGGAATTCTCCTTGAAATAAATAATCTGTTAAAATATATTTTCTCCATAAATAATTGGCTCGATATCGATTGGTAGTAAATTGATGAAAGATTTCTTTAAATCTTTGACAAATGATAGGTAAGTTTTCGGATGATGATAATAAATGAATATCTAATAAGATCTTATTGTATAGGGAAAAAGATTTGGTATTTCGAAGTTTAGTTTTGAATGATTTCAGAATTAAGTGAAGTTGGTTTGAAAAGAAAGAAAAGACTGACTTACTTCGGTTGGTAAATCGATCAAACTGGTTCTATCAGCTGACATCTATGTGGTTCGAGTTCAATGGGATTGATGGATTTCATGAATTTCTTGTGTAAATGATCTTTTGGTGATTTGGTAAATTTCAATCCCCACATCACTTGCAGAAACACTTTTCAGAATACCTCATGACTCACTATAAGCATAAGCTTCACCCGGGTCATCATAACCCATACCCATATCAGTTGGTATTCACTCCAAAATGATCAGCATTGGTTAAATTCCCAAGTCCTCACTATATTTTACTCAACTCAAGCTGAGTGACAAAAGAATGGCACGTCGTACCCTGTAAGCTCAGCTCCATGGTGTGTCTGGAAACAAATTATGACCATTTGACTCTAAGACATATGAACAAGATTGAGTCCTCAACGGACCTAAAGAAAGAAGCGTATTGAATTATTTACAATTTCAGTTGTTTCAAGACATAAAAAAGTTGAAGAATTCAAGAAAAACTCGATTAAAGGATGACAACTTTTTCAGAGAAAAGATTAAAATACAGAATCAAGTTTGAGAATAAAAGTAATTCATAGTGACTTGAACAGCTTGATTAGAAATATTAAAAACCGGATGAATAGATTCAATAAGATTTTCATCTAAACCAATCACCAATTGGTTTTCCTTCACATCTATCCAAGCCAATGAATTCAAATAAATCTTTTTCATTCTTTCGATTCCGATTTGATCAGTTTCATTTAAACCTTTAATTCCATTCTTCAACACGATTTCAGAATTAAACTTTCGATCAAGATCTTGTAATTTATCTAAAGAGAATTGATGAAAATGTTGAGAAGATGATAAACCAGAAAGTACATAATGAGTATGATAAATATCGACTCCCATAAATGGTTTGTCTCGTAGTCCTCCTTTTCCTTCGGGTATTGGTTGACCTTGAGAAGCTAAAAGTACATATTCTTGTAATCCTCGACGATCGTATGACGAATTAGAAAACTCGAATACATCTTTTTCATCTTCAATTTTGGATTGATTGATTTCTTCTTGGATTAAATTCTCAATCACAGGGAAAAGACCACCACACCACCAAGCATAACAACCATCTACTAATTTATTACTTCTACCTCTGAACCCACCACCTTCGATCGGTAATCCTTGCATACTCGTTAACCAACGCCAACAAGCTTCATAGTCGATCGAGGTGATTGGAATCGTGTTTGATAAGCTTTTCAAAAGGAAATGTGAAAGTACACCACAAGAAGTATAACCACCATGAGATTCACCAAGAGGAACGGATCCGAATGGTTGGCTGTTTGAGAGGGATTTGAGGGTTGATGATCCAGAACTAAAACCACCTTCATAAGTTTGACTATCAGCAACAAAATCAGGTAAACCGATGGCTAATTCAGGTGTTAAGAAATTAAGTAAAGTTGAAACGATCAATACACAATAACAACTTCTAACATCTGATTCTCCATTCTTTTGCATAAGAAAACTACCATTAGATTGTTTGAGAGTTAAGATCCATTCATACATTCCATCTCGATTGACTTTTGACCAAGTTTGTTGAACGAGATCAGCTTCGGATTTAGCTAGTAATGATGATAAAGCTAATGTACAAGCAAAGGTAGAAGCTAGATGAGCACTTTGTCCTGGACCTCCACCAAAACCACCATTAGGATCTTGGAATGATAAGATAGTATCGATTAAAGCTTTATGTTCGGTTTCTTCGAAAGGCGCATTGAGCATCGACATGGAATTCGAAATCCAAAATGATAACCAAGATCTACTTGAATCTAATGCAGTAAAAGGAGTAGGTATCTCTTTAAGAGTCGATTTAATAAATTCAACATGAGCATCTTTTGCCAACACAGAAGTTTCGATTGGTTTTTGGATCATAGATTTTGTTTCTTGAGTCTGGTTGATTGAAACTTCAGAATCTTTAACCAGGGTTTCTGAGGACCAAGGTAAGAATAATTCTAAAATGTCTTGTTCTGTTTCTGCTTGATCTTCAGATGTATCGGTTTTGATTCCATCGAATGGAGTGCTTTTGAATGGATAGACCGGCATCTTTTTTTCAATTTTATGTATTTATGTCGAATGATTAGAAAAGAAGAAAGTTGAGTTGTGGTTTGTGGAAAAGTGTTTGGGTAGTTGTGGAGTGTTGGTTGAAGACGATCTTGGCTTCTCATCTTGATTTAAAATGAGGAGCTCCAGTTCCTCTGGATTTTGATGCGCTCTGTTTGAACCGTAGAAGGAAATTGGTTGATTGATGAATGGAGTGATTTCCGGATGAAGTGACTTTTAAACTTCTGATTTGTTGATTTGTTTCTTTTTGATTCGTTCATGTCGAACAATAAGCAGGAAACTTTGTTCAATTGGTACCCCCAGAATGTTAAACTACCTCATTCTATTTGCCTTTTGCCTTTTGCCTTTTGTTGAGGTATCAGATGTAAGTTCTCATCATCTCGGAATCGGGAGTGGGGTTGAAGTTGAACTGATTCAGGTTCTTTGTTAGCTGAGGAAAAGGAAATTACCATTTGCCATTGGCATCATGATCACTGGTGGATTTCGTCGGTCTGGTCTTTTGTTCTGACTTCGATATATGGAAAAGGGTACCTTACCGTATTTAGACTTGATATCACTCACTACCAAACCTTCGCTGACTTTCTTCATGTTCACTCAAACAGGATTTTTTTGATCATCTTCGAATAAGACCTGATAAAACTTCATAGAGGAGTCATATTTGACTTTTTATCTGCCAAAGTTACCGATTCGAAAATTCAATTCTCATCATGATTTTTGACTACCAAAACTTTATCAAACAAGCCCAGCTTGTGCCCGGGATTTGACTCCATGAGCCGTGACGTGGTTCGCTTGTCCCACGTTAAGAGGAAATCTTATGTTTGCGTTCATATCACCTTTCCAGTCACATCTCTCCAGCGAAAAAGTAGTGAGATTCAATTTATTTACGATTGGTTATAGTCGGTCATAAACAACAAATCATAGAGAAAAAGATCATATACAGCCAGATGCCTATCAACCTAAACCATTAGTGGCTGCGATGTGATAATTGGTTGGTTGAAGTACCTTGAGATCTATGCTACGGTGAAAGAAAGACTATAATTGTTATCGATGTAGGAGTATGAAGGGTCTTTTTGGCTCTTGGAGCCTGAGGCCAATTCGGATGTTTAGAATCAAGTCAGCTTGCTTGAGGGCCTCTGTAAGAGCTGCAACATTTTAAAGTGGCATCAACTACATTCCAAAGAAATTGTCAATATGCAAGTAGATAAATGACAGGGTACTCACATTCATCTCCAGAGAGGACTGTCCTCCCATTTGTTACAGGTTTTCACGTTGGGTTCTATGTTGTACCATTCCTGAAGATATCATGAACACTTTTAATCAATATCCAGGAGCACGATTCAACAGAACTTCCCTTCTGTTAGAAAAAGATCGAATCCTCTTTGGCAGACACGACCTGTGTTTGGATCTTGTCCGATTGATTTAAGATATCTCAATGGTAGTAAAGACTGAAGCCGTCAAAGAACACTCATGGTCCATAATCTTTCATATGTTTTCAAATTGTCACGTTTTAAATATTCTACTACAGTGATGCGAACGATTTTCAACCGAGTGATCAACCTCGTAAAAGAATTCCTCGTCATCCAAATAATGTTTGATCATGAATTCCAACTCCCCAGCTATAGGTCAGTCTTAGATACCCAAACCATATATTTGTCCGGCTCGTGCAAGATATAAATTCATATACTCCCTATGCGTTCGAGCAATAAAACGTATAAAACTGTGAGGAATCACGGAAATCGAAGTCGCTGAGGGTATTTCATTCTCAATACTTTGATTGTTTGGTGAGAATATTTCTATGCGATGAAGTAAAATCCCAGGAACTGTAGGGAAAGAACAACTACCACCACCAGGTTAAAATAATTTTGTTCATACTATTACTGGTTTGATAGCTTATGGAAGCTTTCTATAAGTACGACCTGAGTAGAAAACAAGAAAGACAAGACAAATGGTAGAATGTTTAAGTGGGTCTTTGGCGGGCAAGGTTACTCACACAGATCTTGAGTTCGGGATTTCTTTACAAAGATTTTTCTTGCCTCTTTAACATCCTTGGATCCCGAGACCTGGCAGTGGAACTCGCAAGGCAGGATGACACCAATCAGGAAAAATCAAGAACAGTGCGTAAAGTCTAAGAGCACATTCACTACATTTTTGAATGTACTTATTGGAAAAAAATCCAGTGATTGTTCATCTCTACTCATCAACGGGGCTGAAAAGGATGGACTTGACTGTGGTCAAAGAGGTTCAAGTTGAGCTGTTCGCAGTCTACTACAAGAAGCACGTATTCCAAAGAAGACGAGTGTAGAGCTATCAAAGTAGAATAAGCGGTAAGTCCAAAATCACCCTCAAAAGAATTCTGGTATGACAAGTGTTGGATTTTCATTTGGATTTATGAGGGATCCTGTGTGCTTACCTCAGAAGAATAATGTTGTACGAAGCAACATCTTTGGGGTCTACTATGAATTCCTCTTTGCATTGCACTGTGCTCAATTGTGGTTTTTGAAAAGTTGTTGTGCGGCTGCTACTCCGATAGGTAAGGTGCTAGGAATTCTGCCATTTGACAGCCCATTTTCCTGTCTTTGTTCAGGGCGTATCGAAGACATCTTTGTAGCGGATTCTGTAGATTGGAGACAAAGATTAAGGGTAAAATAGGAGATTACTAAATGGTGCCTTTAAAGCTTGGTTTCCCTTGGATAGAACACACTAGAGCGGGTGTTTGATTCGAAGAGAACCTGCACCTTGTGAGGATGAGTTCTGAATCTGTCATCTATTCTCTAGCAGAAATCACATGGGTGAAATGTGTTCTGATGAGTTATGAATCAGACTTATGATGCTGCTGACTTGGTTAAGTCTAAGTGTATAAGTAAAACCATTAATTTTTAATGGTTTTGAGCCATTTTCCATCAATTGACTGTTTACTGCGTTGTATTTGTTTGGTTAACTTGAGTCCTTGAAGGTTTTTAGACTTTGAGTTGATTTCGATTTCGATCTTCAATTGATATTCTTCTATACATCTGCTTTTCCTTCTCATTTTGGTTTATCTTTATTCAACTATCCTTCGATCGATCCTTCAAACAGCATGGACCCGGAGGATGTACTTGATTTTGGTGAAGAAGACGGTCAGTCCCACTCTACTAACTCCTCTAAATTTGTTTTCCTCTAGCTTAAACATTCCTTCGTTTCCGTTTTTTCCACATCTCAACACTTGTGGTAAACATCTACCAACGCGTCATTTGGTTCATTCAGAAGATGGTCTCGATGTAATCTCACTTGGCGGCTCCGATCACAATGGGGATCCACTTCCGGCTAATTTGCATCCTGCCTCTGGAAACCATAACAAGTTCGTGATCCCTCAAATATTTGTCATCTGTGTTCATGTTCAACAGTTCCTCATATCCTTACAAATTTCTCAAAACTCTATAGTACACGCTCCGGCCGTTCAAATAGGTCTCCACTTCACGCCCAACGGTCACATAGTAAAGCTCCACAACATCAATCGGAGAGACGACATGAAACTTCAAAGCCTTCTACTCTGTCGGCTTCTACATCAAAACCCATCACTGGAGCGAGTGCTTCAACCCAAAATCCTCCGCCAGGTGAAAGAGCATCTTACATGCCTCCTGATCGCCCTCAAGCAATGGCCTCGGCTGCCCGCTATGCAGATGCGGCTCAGGCCCACGCCTCCTCAAAAATCGAGTCTCGCCGCTCCCTTACAAGCTCTTCCAATCGGTCGCTCTCTCAACGCCAACCCGATCCAACATCGTCTCGCAATCCCCCAAGTAACTCTTTTGAAGCCTCGACCTCTAATCAAGATGCTGTGAATCGTGAAAAAGGTGTGGCTGAAGCCGATCAATCGACTCCCGCCTTGCCTAATGGCTGGATGTCCCGTCTCTCCAAGCAAGGTAAAGTCTATTACGTCAATGCAATCACTCGTACAAGCCAGTGGACTCTACCAACCGAGGCTGCTTCTGGTGTTCCTCCGCCCACAAGGGTAGGTCCGACTCGATCTTTAGTCCATTGCGTCCATGGCTGATATGTTCTCACATTTCTCAGCCAGCCACTACAGAATTGCCAACGATGCCCGCGGCGGACCGTCAGCAAAACCTTAACGGTGATAAACGCACTACATCGAATACTGTCGAGCGCCGTAATCCCAAACACAGTAACTTGATCGCCGTTGATTTTGCACAAAACGCACAACACAAATCAAATCAATCGCCTAATGTGGATGCTGCTATGATGGCGCAATCGAGAACATCCCCCAAGGTTGACAAGTCTGACTTGCGTACTGCCGAAGTTTCAGCACCTTCAAAGAGTTCCGCTCGACGGGCTGAGTATGTAAGGCCTACTGCGCCAGACGATGTGCGATATCTTCAAGAGAATGAACGACGAACTTCGACTGCTGATGCTGATATCAAAGTGATGAGAACGGATACGTCGCGACGCATGAATGATGACTACGCCGATAAGGAACGCGAGATCATCAAACCCGACCGTCGGCCCGAAGGCGATAGTATGTCGTACCGCCCGCGCGATCGTGCCTTTGACGATGTCAAAAACTCTGCGTCTGGCTCCTTCCGTAAGCTACAGTAATCATGTTTTGCTTATCATGTTTCAATGCTTTCCGCCGTCAGCAATCGCCTTCCCTCGTCTCTTGAACGGCTGCGAGAAAAAGAAGACATGAATCATTTGTTCACACTAGTTTATTAAGGTTGAGTGGTGGCTCGAGCTGGGTCTCTTCACGCTGCAGGCGCAATTGAAAACCTTGCCTCAATCAACATCTGTCACAACCCGCCCGAGGGGCTCTTTGACCCGAACTTCTCATTCTAAATACCCATTGCTCTCGCCATGCTCATATCACCTCACTTCAGTGAATGTCAACCCGGTTCAAAATACACCTCTTCTTCACTAGCTAAATAACAATCACAACATATCTCAGCCCATGAATGATCAGCTTATCATATGCTTTTGTGGGATATCCTTGTATGTCCTGTAACCTACCAGATCGCGAGCCTCCGCCGCACCAAGAAGATCGTATCGTGGACGGATCTCGGCGGATCTCGGCGTCGCGCTATCCACCTGAAGATCCTTACCGGTCTCGCGAACCAGTCCGACCCAGATCAAGCCGAACGAGATCTTTGACACCGCCTCCTCGGAGAGCAGCGTCCCCAACTTATGAGGATTCTCGTGATCGCAAGTACAGAGAGGGTCAGTTGTCTTACTCTTCGGTAGGCAGGGTACAGCTAGGGGCAAAAGACGCAAAAAGATGGGCCCATTCAACCATTGAAGTGAACTGAAATCATCTTGCAACCCGGTCGACTATCCTCAGCTCCGTATGTATCTACAAAAGATGCTGTACCTGTCGGTCCCCGAGCGTATGTTGAGAACCGTATGGCTTCGCGTTCAGCTCATCCTGAGCCAACGTGGCAATATGGTAGCGCGAGGTATGAGCCTCCTCGCTCGGCGCCTATAAGAGCCGAGGATACTGCTTCGCCGAGGTATCACGAATCTCGAGGCCCTCCCCATCCTCCTCGTGAACCAGGTATCAGACCAAATTCATACATTTTCGCATCCGTCAGCCATCATCTCATCACCGCGTTACTGATGTGTTTCATGCGGTGTGTTGTATCAGCGTCTCACAGGATCCCGTCCCATAACGCTGTGGAAGTAGTCAGGCCAAGCCGTAATTATCATTCGCCGCCACCGCCATCTCGCTACCATGATATCCACCCAGATCCGCGTGACTATCAAAGAGACTCTTATCATCGTCGTCGCTCGTCTCGAAGTGTATCTCCCCGCGGCGCGGCTACTAGAGACGCGACATATGTAAGTCATCGGCATGCTGATGAGCGGGTGGAACCGCCACCAGGCGATGCCTACTCAGCCCGCTATCCCCACGATCGTAATCCCCGCGACCGTAACGTGTATCCGGCACGATATCCAGATGATCGATTGGAGCGAGGTGACCGTTTAGAGCGGGCGGAGCGCATCGAGCGTGCGGAGCGCCTCGAGCGTGCGGAGCGCCTCGAGCGTGCAGAGCGTTTGGAGCGTTTGGAGCGTATGGAACGCGCGGAGCGTATTGCCCGTTTGGAAACTGAAGAAATACCTCATCGCGGGGAAAGGAATCTGAAAGAGGGACAGTCGCCGCCCAAGGGACCTGCCAACGGCCCCGATCGTGGGGTTCCCTCCAGGGTTGAAGCCAATGACCCAGAGGTGAATCAGCGGTCCACCAAGAGGGCGATCTCCAGTGGACTAGCACAGCCAGTTTCTGCGATAGGTCCTTCTGCGGGCTCAGAGGTACCGAGGAACAGAAAGAGGGGGGCCAGTGCTTCACCTACGCCTGACGAAGCGTCCTTGCCCATCGTGAACTCAGATATTCATCACTCGGAGCCTCCAACGCCCACGGTAAACAAGTCGTCAACATCGCTAGCATCTCGACTCGGACCAGTAGTTGTCGACGCGGCTCTTCCAGCTCAACCATCAGCTTCGAAAAGAAAGAAGACAAATGCCAGTGAGGCGATTGCAGCCGAAAATTCCGTGACGGTAAAACCTGTTGATCGCAGAGCATCTGAAAATCGAGAAGCTAGTCGCCCACAAACCAAACAAGCATCCGGGTCCCCTCCAGGACCGAAATCTCCTGAAATCCTCGGTCGTATCCATCCTATTGGTCCGGAAGGCAAAAACGGAGCCACCAATCTCGTTTCTAAATCTCTGAACAAGCCTAGCGTGCCCGACGAAGAAAGGTCAATCAGTCTTCGAGGGCGAGCCTCAAGAGTATCAGAACCTTCAAGGACAGTTGATGAACAGATGCGCGTAAGTTGACGTTGCTTTTGCTCCTCTATTTGTGGTTGAGATCGCCCTGGCGACGGGAGCAATAAGCCGATCGTGATGAGATCTGATACTTATTATATATCTTAGCCGTTCATGGCTATCTTTGATGAACCTCAGACCACAGCGGCACAAGGCTCATTGCGCGACCGAATACAAGATATGAACTCTTTGAATCCAAGGTCACCGGTCATACCGACAGGCCCTGTTGCCAAGAACAATAATCATAATAGTTTGGCTGCTCGCGTGAAACCAGCTCCTGTTGCGGGACGAGGTGTTTCAGTAAGCTCCTCCAAGATTGCAAAATAGTAGTAGAACAAGAGACTGATGAATACTTGCATGTTGACTTCAAAGCTCAATGAACGGCTCGGACAAGGTGCTGTCCTACGAAACGGAGTGGCGAGTCCTCCGACAGGACCTAAACATATCTCTGAGCGCATCTCTAGACCTCACCAACGATTTTCTAGTGACGCAAGTTGGAATGGAAAAAAAGCGAGATATTGATAAAAACGTTACCAATGTCATCAACATGATAATACGTCTATTTCGAATACTTGTATCGCACATTAGGATATCAACGGGGAAAGGTAACTCGGGTTTGTTTTGAAAAAGTAGGTCTTTCATTTCCATGATTTCATTATAGATATTGTTTAATGGCTCTAAAGGTACAAAAAGAAGATTTTGATATGAGATTTACATGGACGGACGAGTTGTATGTACTGAAGTTAGAATAAGAAACGATCTAAACAAAAAGTCTTGTTTGTTTCCAAAATGAGCGAATTTATCAGTGTTGTGGAAGATCACACTGTTGAAGTACAGTCGAACCCGCGCAATTGCATACCCGCGCAGCTGCATAACCCGTGATAATGCATAGAAAAATTCCTCAATCTTGATGCTTTTTACTGCCAAATTTGACAACGGGATTGCATAACCCGTCAAAATGCATAGGAAAAGTCTTCCACCCAAATTATGTGATTGCGCGGGTTCGACTGTAACTTAATTGATAAACCGTGATCCTTTCAGCATGTTTCATTTTGTCTTCCGATTAGTATCTTGCTCTGATCCGTGGAGTTGTCAAGCACTGGAGTACGAATATTCCCTTGGGGGTTGTTCAAGAGTATCGATGCAGGAAGTTGTCGATGACAGCTCTGGCCTCTAGTCATCGTATCACCTCATCGTATCACCTCATCGGGGGCAATGTTTTTGACATGAGTGTACGATGCAGCTCCAGCGTTCCCCTAGAAAAACAGAAGAATAGCAACTAGACAGAGACAAAGAAATGCGGTCCGCATCTCTATCAACGATGCACAAAGGTGATTTGTACCTAGGACCTTCGATTTGCATCAGCGTCTCATTCTTGCCAGCGCGAAAGGATGATCGGACGCATTTGAAAGCCTGAATTTTCGATTGATTAACGAAGAAGAGTTTACAAAAATCCCCTCGTCGCCACACCACCATTCCACACCGGTTGCAATTCCCACAATCACTTGCATCTCCCGAACCACTCGACCTACATGAATTAAACTTGATCCTACATATGAAGTCCTTGCCCGTTATGACTGTTGACTGAAAAAACGTAGCTACTACATATCAATATGTATGTTGAATCGTCTTGATCCGCTCAACACCTTTACCTTTATTGGTTCACTTCGGATGCCGAGGGAAAATGAAATGCTCGGGTGATTAATCAAACTCAGCAACAAAGAAAGTCTAGAGGAAGTGAAAGTTGTGTATGGATTAAAACCTTCACCTCTCCTCTACATTTGATCACATCCACGTTCACATTGTACGTGATCTAATTAATCCACTATTCGAATCTTTGAAAGGCAAAATGATATCAAACCTCAAATTTTATTCAGCTTTTATTGTCTTTGGTGCATTGTGGCCATCCTTAGTTCAATCTGATGCAGAATCTCTTCGTTCAAAGTTTTCAGAATTAAAAATAGAAGCTGTTTTTCCGGATGATCCCAAGTTTGAAGTACTTGCAAAAGCTTATAATAAACGGTTTACTTATACTCCTGCTGCCATTATCTTACCTCGTAATAAAGAAGATGTATCAAATGCAGTTCAAATCTCAGTTGCTGAGAAACTTCCTAGTAAGTTCAACTCCAATTCACTCAACTTTTCTACATATATGATCATCGTCGACTGAGAATCTGATATGATGTTGTAGTTTGTGCGCGCTCTGGAGGACATTCTTATACAGCTTATGCTTTTTGTGGGAGAGACGGAGCATTAGTTATAGATCTTGTGCGACTGAAGACGATGGAACTTGAAGCTTCGAGTGGAATAGCTAATATAGGTACTGGAAATCGAGTGGGCGAGATGGCTGTTGAACTCTACGATAAAGGCAAACGAGCCTTACCTCATGCAACATGTCCTGGTGTGGGCATTGGAGGAACCGCATCATTTGGAGGGTCAGTGATCAACGTAGAAAGCGTGAAAATTTATATTTAAATTTAGGTGTTTTTCTTTTAAACATTTTGTCTACGTCCATATCAGGTTCGGATATAGTAGCCGTATGTGGGGCTTGACATTAGATAACATCATAGGTCATGAAGTTGTTTTATCTAATGGTACAATCCTTGAAACTTCAGAGAAGCAAAACCCCGACCTATTCTGGGTAAGCACCGTTCACATTGATCATCAAATTATATGATGTAATGAATCGTATCTTTACATATAAATAGGCCTTAAGAGGAGCAGGATCGTCATTTGGAATAATTACTTCAATAAAATTCCAAACACATAAAGCACCGAATCAAGTCACAAATTTTAGATATGAATGGAATTTGAATCAAGAGGATTTTTCAAATGCATTGATCAATTTTCAAAGATTTTCTAATAATGAAAAGATTCCAAATCAAATTGGATTTTATGCAAATATTGGTAAGGGTAAAAAGGATAACGATTTATCTTTTGTTATTGAAGGTGCTTGGTATGATGAAGTTTCAAAACTTTCGGAGGTGATGAAACCATTTTTTGATGTGATGGTCAGTCATTGTAAAGTTGTATTTGCTCTTCTGAAGATGAGAAGAGTTATTGATAGTTTGACATTTATTTCTTTTGTTCTACAGCCGTATCCTCCTGATAAAACCGAGAAAACTGGTGATTGGATTGCGAGTTTGACAGATTTAGCTCAAAGAACTGGTTCAAAGTCTCTGTTGATGTCAGGTGAGTAGATTTACTGAAAAAAACTGTTGACATCTAAGGATAAATCTTGAACCACATGTAACATAATTTGGTACGATGTTGACTTTATATTCTTTCATAGAGAAAGAGATACAAGAGGATGGGAAGAAGTTTTATGTCAAGAGTCTTACAACTCCCAAATCGATGCCAATGACAACAACTTCCATTCAAGCTTTTTCAAAGTATCTTGTGACTCAAGGTCCACAGATTAAAACAGTACGACTTGTCAACTTCTTCTCTATATATTTGAATGCTTATTGGTTTCAACGCTTTTGACCTTTCTCATCATCAGGGATGGTTTGTACAATTCGAGCTTTATGGTGGAAGAAACTCGGCAGTCACTTCAATACCCATGAATCAAACATCCTTTGCTCAACGTGATATCTTATGGACCATACAAGTTAATGACCTATTCTCATTCCAATTTAAAAACTCGAATTGAATACTCGACTTACAATTTGCTTGGGGTATCAGTTTTACACTTATGCTACTAATCCAGAGCAGCCCTTTACTGAGGAAGCTTTTGAAAGCTTAGATCAAATGGTGAAGACAATCGTTGAAAATAATCCTCCTGATGGGGAATATGGGTATGTTTTCAAGAAACCAAAAGTCTTGGGGATACGAACAAGTTTTTTACAGATGCCTGACTATAATCAAACCAATCACTTTTTTGCATAGGGGATATTCTAATTATATAGATTCTAGATTACCAGATGACCAATGGAAAAAATTCTACTACAAAACAAAGTAAGGAACCTCTTATGATGAATTTCAAAGTCATCCACAATGAACTCATTCAAAACTCAATCTTGAATTTCTGGGATAGTTATCTCAAGTTATCTGAAATCAAGAATTTGTATGATCCTGCAAACATATTCTCAAATCCTCAAACCATCAAAGGAGATGATTTCCGTTTGCAAGGTCAATAAATATATGGGATGTTTGGGGAGGATGATACTGTCTCGTAGTGCTAATAGAGGTCATTGTCGTAGTGATGACTTTGATTTTTTTACTTGTCGAGGATATTTTTCTTCGTTGGATTGAAGAACTGAAAAAAAACTAATACAAATGCAGAGCTTTGACTTGTTTCCTCCGAGTAGAGATGACTAATATGGAAATTTACAACGTGGTAATTCAAGATTTGAACTCGTGATATTTGGAGGAGCTCGACATGACTTTCATAACATAATGATCAAGCGCTTTTGTGCGCTGTGTATGTGATAGCGCCGTACACAGATAACAAAATAATATGTTTTTGTGCGGTTGTAGGTTTTTATCACACTCGCAACCCTGGGTTGAAACTAAAAACTTTACCACGAATGATGACCACCAGAAACAATGATGCTGCATTTGAAAAGTGGTCCAAATCACTTGATTAGAGCAGGGATCTCGAACTTCCTCCTCAAAGCGAATTGACGTACTCTGAACCAGTACAAAAACTGCTTGCGTCACTCGCCAACCAAGCCGTTACACCTCTCACTTCATGCACCTTCCCTAACCGACCTAGGGGATTCATGCTGGACCATTTTTCCTCCAAAAATGGGTTTTCCACAAGGAATTTCTGCGTCATCGCAGTACGAACATGACCTGAGAAGCCCAAGAACAGAATGAATCATCAACATTCGACGCATTAGACGATTACTGCTTACCAGGAGATAAGCTGTTGACTCGAATTCGACTCGAGCCAAGCTCGCATGCCATACTACGAGCCATTTGTAGTACAGCTGACTTGGAAGTATTGTAAGCTATCCAAGCACTGTTGGAGGAGACAAAAGTATGAGAAAAACCTCGGATGGATTGAATGACAAGAAGCTATCTGGTACTTACTGATCTTTGTTTGTTATGGACCCAGACATTGAAGCCACCATGATGATCGAGCCCCCTATATCGCGCTTGACCATTTCCGAAGCGGCTGCAGCCGCTGTGATGAACACGCCGTTGGTACTGAAATCGGATACCCTCAGGTAACGTTAGCATTCTATGTATGATAGGATGACCCATCTCTTAACTGACTTTACGTCCATCACGCGCTGAAAATCGGACACAGACAGATTTAAACAACTTCCACCGTCGTGTAATATACCAGCAGCGGCGACACACACATCCAAAGTGCCTTCAGCGTCTACAATTAATTTACAGAGGTCTCGCATGGCTGTTTGATCAGTCACATCTACTCTTCTGTAGTACATGCGATCACGATCGACTGAGCCCGAGAACATTTTCCTTGCATAGTTGGCGCAGGCAGTAAAATCCTTGCTAGGAGATTCAGCCAAGTCAACGGCATAGACGATCGCACCTAGCTCTGCGAGAACGAGTGCCATTTCTAGACCTAACCCTCCATTTGCTCCCGTCACCAGAGCACACTTTCCTTGAAGCTTGAATTCATCACTTATCGTCTTAGTCGCCAGATCTTCGTTTTCGAAAAATTGTCGTGCAGCGGCTACACCAATAGGTAAAGGGTTAGAAATCTTGCCATTTGAGAGCCCATTTTCTTCTCTATGTTCAGGGTAAGACATATTTGTAGCGAGGATTGCGACAAATTGAATTCTGCAGATCCGAGCAAAAGACCAAGGGTACGAATAAAGAAACACCAGAGCGGTCCCTCAATCAAGAATGGATTAACAGAAAGCTCAAAGATTTGGAAGTAGAGTGAGATGATAGGTTCGTAGTAATGCGACGGGCAATTTTATGAGCTGGTCGTTGTGACTTTGCTTGGCTCAAATATTGAAGACGGAGGGACAAAAAGAAACTCTTGGTCCATTCCAGAATCCATCGGCTTACAAAGTTTCTTGACCCTCTTGCGGACGAGCCGAAAGCCCTCTACTTTCCCTGTACAATTGACTGTTTCTGGTGTATTTACATGAGATCATTGACCTTTTGTTGCTACATAAAGTTCACTTTCATTTTAGCTTTAAACGTGTAGTTCAGGATGAACATTTCTTCAGAGTTTATCGTATAGAAACATCCACTCGACTAACTGCTGTGCTGGTCTCCGCCATCTTTGATTTTCAGTGGTAAATCCGGTAAGTTGATTCCGCATGTCATATAACACATCTAAGCCGGGATGTACAACAAAGAAAAGCTCATGTTGAATAAAACGAGTATATCTAACCGGGATGCTTCGTATCCTTCGTAGAAAGAAGATAAAGTGTTATAGGGTCATCAAATATTACTGGGATGAATAACAAAATTACGAGTGCATCATGTGCCATGTGGGCATGATTATACGTACATACAGGGCCATATTCCGAACGAGATTGCATCCACTGAAGTTATGTCTGAACTACATACATAGAGGAGTACATATTGCGTACATATTGCGTCGATGTCATAACATTTGGTTTATCACCGCCAAGGTTTGCATCTTCATCGGGCAAGGAAGGGAAATAAGATGCTATATACGTCATAAGCTTGGTCAAATTGCCTTGCCAAAGGTCAGGCTAAAACCCACTCACTTGGAATTGATGGTGGACTTTGTCATATGTATGTACATCGATTCAAACATAAAGATCTCATCCGAAAAAATCTCGAGGACATATCTCTTCTTGTGGTGACGCAAATTGGCCGGAAAGTCGGCACTTGAAAGTTAGAATAACGAAACGAATGATTTGTTTACTCAGAGTTCTGCGGGGCTGATAGATTGCCTGTGAACTAAACCTAATGTCAATGAGGCATGTTACTTGGCATCAAACATAGTGTAATTGATATTTTCAGAGGTCCCCCCAAGCTATCTGAGAGGGTGACTGAGAAGCACGATTGACACAACAGAAAGGAAGGTAAGCTGGACTTACAGATATCTACGTCTTGGAGAAGGGTCTTTTAAATTTAGTAAGGGGTAGAAAGGTGTTCAGGATAACTTTAGGGCACGTTTGTTAATTGTAGTCTTCCGCGGGAGGCACGACGGAGGTGGGCGGTATCCACGCGTACGGGTAGCGCATTCTGCATGTGCCTCGGTGGGAACTGCATTGTGATCTCAGTCAGGGGTTTTCTTGCGTTTCAAGTGACCCACTCGACACCGGTGCCCTCGAGATAATTCACGAAATGGTTCAGAATGTTGAAACATAGCCAAGACTAGCCAGCTCAGGGTCTTGCTTTCATTATGGAGACATACTCCTTGGTTACAATGCTAAAGGAAGCTGGAGTTGATAAAGAGGCCACGGATCAGATAGCAGAGTGCCATCATCTACTCCACCTTTTACCTTTGTCATCTTACTTTTAACATCGATAAAATCTTCATCTGCAACAAACATTCCATATATTCAACACTGCTCCTTGATAATCGAAAATTGTGCTAAAAACTAAATCGAACTTTGCTCAAACATCCTCTTCATAATTTGGAAGTCCAGGCCAAGACTCGTCGTATTCTATCATTGTCAATAGGGTGTAGTCTACAATTCCATCCCTTCTTCCCTCAAAATCTTTTCGTTTTTTTGTTCATCACCATCACATCCTTATTTGCTTCATTTCTTTACTCCGTCAAGACCTAGTCCTATAAAACAATAGCTCCGACTTAAGCACTCATATCACTTTCAAAGATGTCAAACAATACCATTGTACACGCAGCCGCCCGTATTATTCCTGTTACATCGTCAGGTGGAACCAACGGAGAGGCATTGCCATGTCATCTTTTCTGTCCTATGTATATTAAATCAGCATCACAATCCAGCGTATTCAACTCGTTTCCTTCAACAAGACGAGTGCGACGCAAGCATTCCAACCACAATCACAGATACAACGGCTAGAGTCAGCGCAAAAACTCCTAACGGAGATTCAACCATTGCAAGCGCATGTACGCAAAACACTGGCTCAGGAGAAGGCTTTGAGCCAAATAGGGTTTATAACCCAGGGATCAAACCCAACCTCCAATTAGCACCCAAGAAAAGTCTACAGGAGAAGGCAGCACGCCAAATAGGGCTTACAACCCAGGGATTATACCCAACCTCCAATTAGCATCTAAAAAAGTCTACAGGAGAAGGCAGCGCGCCAAATAGGGCTTACAACCCAGGGATCAAACCCAACCTCCAATTAGCATCCAAAAAAGTCTACAGGAGAAGGCAGCACGTCAAATAGGGCTTACAACAGGACCCCGGATAAGTCTTATAAATTACAGGGATGGATAATTGGTCAAAACCTCCTAATTCATACCTCTTTTTTTGTTTTTTTGAGGCCATTAATTCCTGTTTCATCCCTAACCTAAAAGCCAGGTTTTTAAGAGTTTTGGAAATTAATTCCCCCACATCCCTAACATTGGAAAGCTGGTTTTGGAGAATTTTTGGGGACTTCAATTTTGTTTCTGGAACATTGGAAAAGGCAAATAATCTTGACGTGATTCTTGTAACTAGATCAGCTATTTCAATGTACAAAATTTGTTTCAACATGGGCGAATACTCCTCAGAGTAAAGGGAAGTCAGAAAAAGTTGATTTTTGAATGAATGCAAGCTATGTCCCTTGTGCACAACTCAACTTGCATATGAGCAACTTGTGTAAACCCTTGTTGAATGTGAATTTCTGTTTGTACCTTTCAAGGTTAATGGGGAAATAACTTATGAAATGGGATATTAATCATGCTGTTCATTCACGGTACATCAGTATCATCTGAGAGGGAGATTTTTGTCCAACTGAGATTCATTCCTCCACATCCCTAACATGTGACCAGGAGCGGGGTGGATAATTCCTTTTTCATCCCTAACATAGCAAAAATTGGAGGGTCTGATTCATTCCTTTTTCATCCCTAGGGTTTATAGGACTTATCCGGGGTCCTCTTACAACCCAGGTATTAAAGTTAACCTCCAACTAGCACCCAAAAAAAGTCTACAGGAGAAGGCAGCACACCAAATAGGGCTTACAACCCAGGGATTATACCCAACCTCCAATTAGCATTCAACAAAGCCCAATATAAAATCATCTCAACAGAGGTAAAGGTAAGAAGATTTTCTTTCTTACCAAGAGAAAACTTCCTTTGACAACCAGAAATTAATATTGTGTTATATCAACAAATCAAAATCAAAAACCCCGTTGCTTACCATTAGAACTATCTTTTTAAAAAGCTTGGAACCTTTGTCAGTTTTAAAAACAAAAAGATAAACCAAACATGTGATTCCATGTGACAATATTATCAACAATGTCTACCAGCTTGTTCCTCTGAAAGATATCCTTCAATCACAACAAGTTTCAAGCAAAACAATTGACATGTAAGATGATACATAATAAACATTGAGAAAATGCACAAATTGCACCAAAAACCAGAATACATTGGAAAAGTTGATGTTTGGCACTCAAATCTATGGAAGATAATTTGATAATTCAGCTGTTTCCAAACAGTGTTGATAACACCTGATAGGAATTCTTGAGTTTGTTAAGAGACTCTAAATACTTGTTAAAGATGAAAGGTTCAAAAAAGTTCTTCTCAGTATCAAGTGAGGTTAGTGGAAACCACCATGTATAAATTGCACAATCTAAAAAGTTTCAATTTTGACAAGACTTTTGGTTGAATGAGTTCAAAGAAATAATCCCATAAAAAATCATCTCTTATTGTTGTTGTATCTTTAAATTCATATGATAACCATCCTGTTCGGTTGTATAAGATCTGAACAATCTTGCATCCAAGTCAAATAAGTTATGGGCTTTTTTTCTTCGGAGAGAAAGTATTAAACATACACAAGATCTAAATTATTGAAAAAATGCAAGAGTATTATGAGAAAATAACAGCTATGCAATCCTTCATTTCAGAGGCCAAATTGCATGTAGCTGATGGTCTTGATAAGACCATCAAATTAGGGTCTGTATAAGACCATCAAATTTGAATTTAAAAGGATACATATTCAAAGGACTAGATACACACATAAAAGCAGCTGTGGTATGGTAAAAGACCTTCTAAATACTGCAAATATAAAAAGGATGATCTATATGCAATACTTTTCTGGAAGCATAGATGAGAAAACATTTTTTTACATGAAAATTCATTTCATAAATAATCAAATGATCGAGTGAATGCTCATTGTGTCAAAGAAGGTTGATGTATCATTACCAAAGCCAAAAGAGAAGGAAGCTGTCCATCTGAACTATTCATGACAATTGGTTGCAGAGCTATCAAAAGATGGACTAAGAAGAATAGAGATGCTAAAAACAGTACTTTGTATGTTTTTGAAGCTTAGAATGCCTATGAAAAATGACTGGCAACAAACATCAAGCATCAGGGGTCATCAGGAAATGAGATATATGAATCACAGCAGGTGACATACACAGCAGGTGACATAGCTGAGGAAGGTTATCTGAAGAAGGTTTTGTGTATTCGACGGGAGCAAAGACGGCCAAGGTAGAGGAAATTCAAATCTTACAATTGAAAAAGCTCAGTCACATGTTATGCCACTGGTGTTTTATGCCGGGTAGCAACATTGCAACAAAGTTAAGGGTTAGGGGTTAGTTCCAACAGGAATGGATATCAACTGATTTTTCTTCTATTTTGATTTGATAGGTCCAATTTGAGATTTTGTTTTTTTTGTTCGATTTTTTGTGA